CTCAAGCGGAGTTCCTTAAACTATTTCTGGATCGATTTGCCGCCATTCTGCATCAAAATCGTGAGACAAAATATTTTTTACATTTTTTGTCCATTTTTCGTGAGTGGACCCCTTGAAAATGGGATTTTTCCCTATATGGCCAACAGTAATGGCTATATCTTCCCCAGTTCTTATCCGATTCTCAAGCGGAGTACCTTAAACGATTTCTGGATCAATTAGGCACCATTCTGCATCAAAATCCTGAGACACAATAATTTTTAGATTTTTTGTCCATGTTTCGTGATGGGACCCCTTGAAAAAGGGGGTTTTCCCCTATAGGGTCCACAGTGATGGCTATATTCTTATTCTTATCCGATTCTCAAGCGGAGTACCTTAAACGATTTCTGTATCGATTTGCCGCCATTCTGGATCAAAATCCTCAAACAAAATATTTTTTACATTTTTTGTCCATTTTTCGTGATGGGACTCTTGAAAAAGGGGGTTTTCCCCTATATGGCCCACAGTGATGGCTACATCTTTCCCAATTCTTATCCGATTCTCAAGCGGAGTACCTTAAACAATTTCTGGATCGATTAGCCGCCATTCTGCATCAAAATCCTGAGACAAAATATTTTTTCGATTTTTTGTCCATTTTTCGTGATGGAATTCCTTGAAAATAGGGTTTTCACCTGGCCCACTAAAATTTGACCCAATGATTCAATAATGATTTTGGCCAAAAAACAGGACCAAAAACAAATTGGGATGCTGATCTAAGGTACTCGAATCTCTAATTTCTAAATGGTACTCCTTTTTTTAAATCGGTTATAATATGGGTGAAATAAAAAGTTTCTCTAAAATGTTACCATTTTGATCAGCTTATTTCGGTAAGCCATCATAGCACCCATATACCTCTCGTTTGTGTCGGACCTGAATATTTTAATGGTCATCTGTTGGTTTTTTATTGTTTTACTTACGATACTCGCTTATAGCTTTCGGTGAGGGCGTATCGGAATATATTTGGCATGAAAGAGGCCTGCTTTCCCGCTGCCTCTGTGATCTGACTTCTGGCGGGCATTAGTTCCGATGGCAATTGCTGTGAACTGCATAAAAATGATTTGGCATGCAGTGGCAGAGTGCAGGCGATCCGCGATCCCCACTAAAAAATGGCCAAGAGGCCTGCTTAGCTTAGTTGGTGGCTGGGACAGAGAAAGGGTGAGCGTTGCAGGAAGTGAATTGTTAAGGCCTGGGAAAGAGCGATAGAAGTGGACCTCGAGTACTCGGGAATCCTTGTTGGCTTTTGTGGTGTTATGCAAATGCCATTGGGCATCAACATCATCGCCACCAGCAGCAGCAGCAGCTTTAGCTTCAGCATCAGTTTCAGCTTCCACTTCAGTTTTCAGTAACACCACTATCTCGGTTGCACCACCCTGTGTGCAGCACAATGGCTACCGTGCGCGTGCAACAGAACACGTACAAAACAGCAGCTGTTTAACATTTATTTGCCTATTTATTAATTTCATGTAACATTTTTTTCCTAGGAAAAAGTTCCACAATGCGAAATCAAAGCCAAAAGGCTGCGCAACAAGCTCGACGCATTCTCCTGACGCCAGGCAGTCGCCTTTGGAGTTTTGGGTTCGGGTTGCCAGGGTTCCAAGGTTCAGTTCCAGGTCCAGGTTGGACCAGGGGTCTGCGAAATGTCCAAGCTCCAGCCGGGCCAACTGTTTTCGGCCAGAAGACAATAAGCCACAGTCCTGGGGTCTTCGGGAGGGACTTTGCTGCCATACTTCTCCCACTATTTTACTCCGTTTGCTGCCAATGTTGGTGCTGCTCCTGCGACTCTGTGGCTGCTGCCTCAGCGACTTGTGGCTGCTGCCACAAAAAGTGTCGTGACCCCGGCCCAGGCATTGCATATGCTCGGAATTGTGGGAGGCAGCTTGTGGCGGAAGGGGCCTGCCCCGGGGGGGATGGCAGTACAAAAATTACATGTTGTTCCTGTTGAAATGTTTTGTTTTCTGTGTGCAGCATTCCCATTGTCGACGACGTTTATTTATAAATTTCTTTGCGTTGTTTACCTTTTTGAAATACTCTATCTAAAGGGGTACCTAGAAATATTCAAATGATTTGAAAATAAGAGGGGTTAAATAAATATCTTTGTTAGGTTTCAGGTCTTAAGATCCATAAACAAAAAGAGATCATTTAAATTCGAATATTGTATGAAATATTGGTTAAATCATATTAAAAATTATGAACTTCCTGACTGACTTCTAAGGATATTATGGCTTCTTTCAAGGGCTTAAAATTTAGGTCAATAAAAGTCAAATAATTATGAAAAAAAAGTAAAGTCCTTTGACCTATTTACAGAGTAGACTAGAGTCGATAAATCGTTTGGTAATACTATTTTATTTTTATGTGAATTGGCCTGGCCTTCTGGGCTAAAAGGAAATATGTAACAGTCCTCGTGCTGTTCCTGCGGTCTTCGCCAGGAATCGTCTTACATAAGCATCTCCTGGCTAGGACAAAGGAAATGCAAAAATGCCAAAAATCGCAAAACTCAAAAAACAAACTAAAAAAAAATAAGAAATAAAAAAAGCTTAAAGGAAATAAAGAAAACGCGAATGCGAGTAACTTGCACACAAAACGATTCTGGCACCCATGAAGAGCAGCAATGGATCCGGTAGGTGGCACAGGGAGGGACAGCAAGGTGAGGGGATTGAGGCTCTGGATCGGAGGAATCATCGAATCGGCCTGGGCGGGTGGTGATCGTGGCACATTTGCATACAATGAGGCCAGGACTGCTGCCCCAAACGGCCGCTCGCACACACATATACAGCTTCCCCTCTCAGAGGGGATACCCAGATCCCCCTACTCCTCCCGTTCCTCCCGCGGCATGTTATCTGCGACTGTGACCTACACCAATATTTCTGAGAATGCTGCTGTTGGCCGACGTCGTCGCCTGTAAGTGTGTCGTCGTCGTCCAGTCCCAGGTCTCCATCTCCAGCATCATCCTGGCACTGAGAGAAATTGGTAATACTAATCTAAATTGGCGATACTAAAATACCTCTCGTATTTAAATATTTGCCTGATTTTCTCTCTGTGTAACTGAAGATCCATCTCGCCAGTCACATAGCCAGTCAGTATCTCAGACGACCGACAACGGACGACGACGAGGAGTCATTCAATCGCGCCAGCTGCGGCGTCTACATCGTCAGCGTTCCGATCCGTTCAGCTTACTTTTTGTTTGCTTTGTTTTCTTTTTGTGCATTTTGGTTATTTGGTTGGCCATTCTACTTACAATATTTGTTGGATATCACCAAAAGATCTCGGCTGGCTGCTGCAGCAGCCTCAGCAGCCTCGGCAGCCAAAAAAAAGGAGCCAGCCAGCCTCCTCGAGTGGGGCTTGTGTGTGAAATCCGACTGTCTGCCGCGTCTGTGGCGTCTGTTCTGCGTCGTCGCCGAGGTTTCATCTTGGGCTGTGCTCCTCGTCACCATGAAGTGGCACGGATACGGGTACGGGTACGGGATAGAGCACGGGTATGGGGTACTAATACTCACAGTTTCAAATTGAAAATGTATGTCTATGGGATTTGCTAACCAAACTTGGCGCTTTTTTTTTTGTTTTGTTTTCTTTGGGGTGTGGGGAGTGGCTCTTGGGTCGGATATTTGTTGTTCGATTTTTTTTTTGGTTAGGTTTTTTGGGCGAAAGCGAAAGATTCCAATTCAGCGGCTGGTTCAGAGTTCGAGGCATTAGTGGAGGACCTCAAAGAAAATCATGACATTTTCCCATCGATTTTCTCGCTATTATGGTAATCGATTTTTGTCCCCTTGTATAATCGCTGATCGAAGAGTATATTGTCTTTCAGATATGATGTGTGTTGGGATTTGGGTCAAGTTAATAAATTCTTGGCTTTCTATAGAAACTATTAGAACCTTTAAATCCACAGTAGTTGCATAATTGAGTATTTTCATTAAATTCCTTTATTTCCTCTTTAAAATTGTAAATTGTTAGTTAGGGTACCCTTTAATTAGTCTTGTAATAAGCTCATAAATCAGCATTCCTGTCTCAGATTTAAATATTCTATTAAATCTTAGATTTATGACTCCATGTGCAGTTTTTTTAGTTGATCCATAAAATTATGTGAGTGTCTGGCTAGAATATCTTCCCATTAAAAATCGAATATTTTAAAAGACTCAAAATACTTTACAAGTTTATTCAATAAGCAATGTACGAAGCACAGTAATAAATATTTGTATAAATAAACTTTTAATAAATATAATAAAATAAGTAACCTAAATAGTTTACGTTTTTAAAGTTACAAATACAAAAAGTACAAAATTGTAAAAGTTTAAGTGCGCGTCATAAAAGTAAGGCTAATAGAGCTCTCTTGGCTTGATATTTTTGTTTTCAACATTTTTTAATTAAATAAGTATTTTGTTAGAACGCCAATAGCAAATAACAAAAAGTAATTTTCATATTTTTAAGTGTTTTTCATGATTGCACATACAAAAGTGGGACCTTTGCGAAAATTACTTAAATAGTTGGTTATATCGAGAAACGAATGTGTTATATCGGGGTTTATGGGGGTTTCAGTGGCTGCTATTTTGTTTTTGTGGCATTTGTTTTCCTTTCGTTAGATAAAAATAATTTAAACGCTAAGATGACAAGTGGCAATTAATTTAAGTGTGATTATCACCTGGCCGCCGTGGCAGGCGGCATCGGACCCAGATCTTCCGATCTTCGCATCTCTGGGAAATTCCAAGCTTTGTGTCGATCACTAATTTTTTGGATCTGCAACGAGGGAGCAGGTATATGGGGTGTGAGGCGGAGCATTAGCATAAGCGTGGCATGTGCCTAGCGGAAGCTTATCAATAATTAAGATGATTTTTACTAGTTTTCGGCTTTGTTTTGGAGGCCTTAATTACTTAGCGGCCGAGTGCCAATTGGCCGCAGCTTTTTTCTCATTTTTTTGAATTTTAAAATCGTGCCAATCAAAAAAATTAAAAAGAAAAAATCAAAAATATGTACTAACCTCTATCCTCAACCGGTTCGCTGGCATCCCCGTGGCCCGTGGCCAGCGGTATAGGTATGGGTATCGGTATGGGTATCGAAATGGGTATCGGTGGCACCACCACCACCGCACCGCCTTCCATGCTGCCCACTCCAGAGTTCTCCGCACGCCCATGGTGAAGTGCTAAGTGCTGGTGTTGTTGCTGCTGCTGATGTTGCTGCTGCTGCTGGAGGATGAGGTGTTGCTGCTGGTGGGGATGCTGCTGCTGCGTCAGGGGATTCTGGTGGCTCTGACTCTGGCTCAGGTGCTGGGACAGGTGCTGGTGATGATCCCCCGTTGGCGGCCACTGCTGGTAGCTGACCGGCACCAGGGGATCCGACATCCACTCGAAACTGAAAGCAGGCCCGATCGTCTGTCCCCCCAACTGGCCGCCGCTTTGATGGGGCGTGGCACTGGTGGGAGTGGGAGGGGTGGTGGTGATGCAGGGACTCAGCTCGTGGGAGGAGCCGAAGCTGTCCAGCGAGGCTTTTTGCGCGGACTCCGACCACGGAGGACTGGGATTCCATTGCTCTATAAAGTCCGCCGGATCGGGCGGAAGCGTTTTGTTGGGCAGCCTCGGCCTAGTGGGTACTATGGTGGCATATATGACCGAGGCGTCGCCACTGGACGAGGCATAGGCAGCTGCCGCAGCAGCAGGATGCGAGTGCAGGGCGTAGCAGTCCGGCTCCGGCGTGATCGCCGCTACCGGAGAACGCTCCGCTGCGTGCAGGTAGAGCGGCTCCACTTTCCTGGCTCTCTTTTTGGGCGGAGGCGTCGTCGACTGCGAGGACTTTTGGCTCTGACTGGAGGGCGGGGGATGGGGGGTGCTCGCCGCGATCGGAGGAGTTACCTGGCTGTAGTCCACGGGCTCCTGGAAGCTGAACAGCGGCTGGTCCTCCTTGAGCTCAATGGCAGAGTCTGCGTGGTAGACGCCTCCGTAGGTGCCCATGTGCGGGTGGTGGTGGTGGTAGGCGGCCGCCGGATGATGGTGTGAGTGATGGTGGTGGTGCGGATGGTGGGAGTGGTGGTGGCTGCCAAAGGCATTGGCAATACCCAGGCCTGGCGTGGCGCCACCGGGCGTTACGGGTGGATGCGCCGCATGGGGGCTGTAGTAACCGCTGGAGGGGGTGCCTGGGGGCACACGGATGCCGCTGTCGAGGGGCATGCCGAACTGGATTTTCGACTGGACGGTATAGTAGTGATACAGCCAGGAATTGGCCAGCATGATGGAAGCCTCGCGATCACTAAAAGATTTTAAAAGTTAAGGGTTGCTCGTATAATTGATTTATAAATAAAAGTATTTAAGATTCAGTTTATGATTTTAATTAACTTACTTGAGTACTTGATTGGTACAAACAATAACCGGTTGCTGAGTGGAATCGGGGCTATCCCGGACCTGGAGCACCACGTGGACCCACGTGTACTCTCCACTGGAGCGTTGCATTCGCACTAACAGGATACAGCTGCGATCTTGTTCCGATTGGGTGACTAAAGGGATAACAAAGATTTTATGTAAGTGGACTTCTTTTATAAAGGTTACCTATATTAAAATTAGCCTTTTTATTTTCTTGATTTGTTTATTTTGTTTTTAATAAATATTTATATACTATTCTTTTAGAACTTCTTCTTAATTAGCCGAAACATTGACAATTTTTTCCGTTTTTGCGAAAGCTTTTTAGTTAAATTTCAAATTCATATTAAACTGAAACTGGTTTAACCTCTTAATGCTTAAATTAAACATATTTTTGTATAGATATTTCAATAGGAATTAAAAGTTTATATTATAATATGATCTTAATGACGACTTTTTGGGAACTTGAAAGGCCTAAAAGATATTATTCTTCTAAGAATAGTGCTTTGGACTTTATAGTAATATCTTTTCCATACATCTCTTAAGCTTATTATTAGAATTATTTTAAAAACTTACTTAATCTATGCTTGTTCTGCGCCTCTCTCAGGTTTTCACTGTGGATAAGATTGTACCAGGAGGTGCCTTGCAACGTGGCCTTGTCATAACCCAAATGAAACTCTCCACTAAAAATATCACAAAAATACAAAAAATAATATTATTTATTAATAGATTTTCTTATTGACTAGTAGTACTTACTTCTTGTCGATGTGGGCTATTTTCATGTCCATCGAGTGAATCGTGGTGAAGACATTGGTGGCACCTTGCACCACACACTCCCGGGTCTCAGGCATGGCGATGGGAGTGCAGGTGGCCAGGAAGACGGGCTCGTTCCGGCTGCAGAGCGGCAGAAATGACAAATAGTGACCCTGGACGAGGACAACCTGCAATTGGAGAACGCAATGAGCTCAATTCTGAGCGACTCGATTGTTGGCGACTGGCTCCCACGAAAATTGGCGCCCATCGCAGGACAGTTTGGGCCTTATGGCCATTTTTGGCCCCGGCATGCCGGCGCTCATCCCTCCAGCTCTCCCCTCCCTATCATAGACATTTTACTCTGATTCCATAATTTAAAAAAGGCAATCACAGAAATGTTTGTGTGCCAGTACCACACAGAACTCCTCCACCAAAAGACACAGCCCCAAAACACCAGGCAGTCTCAGGCTCAGTCCCTAGCCCAGACCCCGGTTCATTCTCCGTCTCAGTCTCAGTTTGCAGTCTGCAGTCTTGAAGCCATTGTCTCCCAATTAAAACGTGCCTGCATTTATTTCGTCCCAGCTGCAATTGCATTTTCGTAGCAGCTTCTTCTGCTTAAATGCAAATGCAGCCCGACGATCCTGATACCAACAACTACCAACAGAAAAAATATAAACCCGTCGGATGACGCAGACACCACAGTCGCTGGTGGGTTCATTCCGTTTAGTCTCTCTGCCTTCTTTTTTTGTTTTTGTTATTTTTTGATTTTGGTAAATGAGACGACCTTAGACTGGGGAGCAGGCGCCACTGCCGGCGTTGTCGCCGCCGTCTTTTCTTTTGGGTTTTGGTTTTTTGGGGCCTTTTGTCTATGGGATATGGTCGGTATGGTCGGTCGTCGGGGTCTGGGCTCTGGCGTACTAGCTCTGAACTATGCCTGACCTCATTCATAATTATTTATTGGTCCATTTTTATTGCATATTAACGAGTGCCAGCCTGGGAGTGAATGTGCTGTGGATTTTGACTCAGCTCGGAGCTCGGAGCTTGACTTTGGGGGTTATCGCCAACACGGTTCATGTGGGTCTTGAGCCGCGAGTGTGCTTTGGATTAGATTAGGTGGCTTAAGTCCGAAAACAAGGCTGGGAATGCTTTTGAAAGTCTGTATTTGGTTAAGTGTTATAGTAAGTAGAGTTTCAAATACTTCAGTTTTAATACTAATAAATTTCAAGTTATGGGATTTATAAACTCCACCTTACTTCTGTATTTTTTATAACCAATTTCAATCTAAACCTTAAAACTTATTCTTTCTTAAGCCACAGACCTTTATAATTTATTTTAATTTTATTTCCTGATTTCCTGCACTTCCCATAATCCCATTTCTTAGCCCTGTAACTCCCTTAAGCAAGACTTCCTGCACCTCATGCAACTGCCAACACTCAACTTAATTAAAAACGTTTTCAGCCAACTGTCAACGCCAGTTCTTATCTCCATAATTTTGCTCACTGCACATCTGGCCAAAATGAAGAGTGAAAAAGGCCAAGAAAAAAAAAAGGAAAAATGGACGCGTCTCGGATCGGCGGAGATATGAATAAAAGTGAAGCGACCGCCCACCAGATTTCGCACAGTAGCGGCACTATGGTGGCACAACCACGCAGGCTCACATTCATACCCAAAACGGGTAAGAGCCGCGGCTGCCACAGCCAACGCGTCGCTCAACACGTTGACAGATTTGGTCTTGTCTTGTTTTCAACCTGCGGCTTGCCGCTTGGGGCTGAGGAGCTTGGCTGACAACTCTATATTGTTGCCTCATCATGGTCATGGCGGGGCGGCCAATCAGAGCAGCTAACTGCGATTCTGGTGGGATAAGGGGCAGGGATTGGTGGAGGGCACCCACCCGTTTCCCATCAACTGTCATCGTTTGTCAGCTTATAGAAACCCGGCTCGTTGGCTTGCCAAGATGTATGGCCAGTTCAGACGCATGCTTCTACTCGAAACTCAAACTCAAACTCAGTCTCAGTCTCCGACTCCATCTCCATTTCCATTTTTCCTGCCTTCATGCATAATTCATGGCAGAGCAAGATGTCGAAGACGAAGTCGGAGCCTGAGAGCTTCGGATATTCGGAGGAGCCTGCAGACTGGCTGCAAAGTGTTACACGCAACACGCTTTCCAGGTGATTCATTCATCAATTTCTGTCAGAGACTTACACGCGCTTACTCATCCCCACAAGACTACACGGAGAGAAAACTACTTCTCTAAGTGGCTTTAATTAATTTCATTTAATAAGTAAAAGCACCCATTGATGTCCCAGTGTACTCACCTTCTGATCGCCGAAACGCATTTGCCGTCGCGCATTGCGGCTGACATTCATGCGACAGAGGAACATGCGATGCTCGCCTTCGAGACTGGAGGTGCCTCCAGCACCACCGCCGACACCACCACCACTGCCAACGCCGGTGGCGCTACCATTGCTGGACGCTGAGTCGCCACCAGCACCACCGCTGTTCGGCTGACTGGAGCCACCTGGTTGCGGCGGCACGTTCCGATTCAGTTCCGCCTGGATGGTTGCGTGATCCTGTTTGTCAATGATATCGTAAACGGAGTCCCCATGTATCAGCAGATCCTCCTGAAAGCATAAGGGGGAGGTAAAGAGGTATCGTTAACATGAAACTACACTGGTAAGGAAATTTTTGTGCCTCTTATAAAATTATAGAAGAATAGAGCTCAATAGAACTCTTTCAACTTTTATAAAGAATTCCTCTTCATACGATTCTTACTTAAAACCATTAATTACTAAGAATTATCGTAAAATTTTATTACCAGTCTGTACTGTAATTTTCGTATGAATTTTCCTTTCAATTAGTCAGCCGTTGGTTTTAATTTGTAAATGATGTGTCGGATGATTGTTTCGACTTTCGCACGCTCCCCGGCCTTTTGTGTGGCTACGATGTTGCTTGCCAATTGCCTGCCGGCCGTTTATGTCAGGAGCTTTTATTATTGTTGACAATTATGGCCACGGAGTTGGCCAAGAGATAGATCGCCGGACTGGCCAAGGAGAGAGAGCGATTAAAACGAAGCCAATTCGATCGAGCGATCTGGCCAATTTATAATGGCAAGCGGTGCTTGTGCTTGTGCCTTAGCTTGTAATTTATTTATGGCCACTGTCGCAACATGACACATGACAATGGCAACTTGTTATGGGAATATGCAAAAATCGAAGTGGAATTATGATGCCCAACAACAGGCATATAACAGCAGCAACATCGGCTAATACTGAACGACTCTACATCCGTAGAAGCAGCAAGAGCAGCCACCAAACAAAAAAAACAACAATGTTGCCAAGATCTATTGACATTTTTGGCAGTTTGTTAATTAACTTTGCCTGTAGTTGTACTGCTTGTGGGCTGCTGGCTGGCTGTTGCTACTGTCGATCGCCGCTAACTAACTCAGAGCCTTGCCACAAATTAAAAGGTTGGGCAATCCACTTTTGGGCCTGTTCAGGCCGTTTTTATTGTGCCCGTAATTATGCCAATACATGGCATGTGTACGAGTGAATTTATGAACTTCGCTGACCACTCCACTGCCGGTGGGTGTCTCCCAGAACTTCACTCCTCCACTCTATTCCACTCCCTCATTGGCTTAGTTTGGAGCAGCTCCTTGGAGCTCCTGATAAGGCCAGGTCTCGGCACAAAGGCCAAAAGGCTGTCAAATGTCATGGTTGCCAATTGGCAAGTATTATTTTTTTTTTGGTTAAGCCTGGCCAAGTTTCAGCTTGTTCTTGTCTAGCCTCTGACTTTTGGGGAAGGGGAAACGCTGCTCTTAGTTGATATGAAAGGTTGTCTGGCCAAGAAAAACAAGTGGCCTCATGTGCCATGTGGAGGGTTTCCGTTTGATATGAAGCTGATCATGTTGTGGGGCCCGAAAATAGAGTTACACCACAAGAAACTCTTTGAATTTTCAACCAAGAGATAATTTAATATTTATTCTAGGTGCACTTTTGGGATCACAGGCCAGGTCTGATTTATGGCATAATTTTTCTTCTACACACATTGCGCATACGCCCCGTTGCCGCCAAGAGCTAGCTCTTGAAGAGCCGACAATCACCTGGCAAATAATCTCGTGTACCTTTGTCAATGTCTGTTCTCTGTATGTGGAACGGAGATATGTCACATGTGCTCCGGTCGGCTAGATTTATTTAAACCGTTGGTTCAAATGCAAAGTGAAAGGCCACAAACGTAGTGTATGTTTCCATTTAAATAAATATATATGTACAAACATATATACTCGTCTATGTATAACCTTGCTATTTAAACGGCGTAAACGTGCAATAAACAAAGCTCGGAACACGGCCCAGCAGCAATGTAGGGGCAGAGTTTTTAAGGAACAAGCCAACGGATTTATATAAGCAAGCTCAATGAATCGGTACTCCAGTACTCCGGTACTCGGTTCGGGCCTCTAGACAGTTGCTAACTTGTCAACGGGAGCAGCAACAACATTAGCAACTAGTACAGCACAAAAAGCGCAGTAAATATGTTGCTGCTGCTGCTGCTGCAGTGATGTTGCTGTTGCAGCAAATGTTGCTGCTGTTGCAGACTCTATGACATGCTCTGACGACGACGACGACAGGCATCGTCGTTGCCTGTTGTCGCTTGTCAGAGATTTGTATCAACGGTTGTAACAATTTCGGGGACGCCAAACAGTAACAAACCCATAACCAAAATCCCAAAAACCAAACTAAAGCGATGCCTTTAGTACCGACTTGGGAAAAACCAACAACTCTTACCATGGAATGGCCCAGGTATTCGGCGGCATTATCCGATATATAGAGCAATTTGCCATTTTGTGTGAGCATCATCAAGAAGCCGGAGAGTGCCTGTAAGACAAATAAATGTACGTTAAAAGGGGGTTTCTGTAGGGAAATCTTATAAAGTAAAGATGTGCTTAGAACAGGCAGAATAAGAATTCAGTATTACTAGCATCAGGATTTATGAAAATAAAAAAAAAGACTTCAGCTGCAGAATATCTAACAAACTGACCTCTAAAACATACCCATAATAATTAGGTTTAATGGCTTTAAGATATTTATAAAATCTGATTCTAATACATTACCTTAAATGATGATTAAAAGTGGATTCTTTTTAGAGGAATCACAAAGACTTCCTAAGTATTCTCTTAAATTTCCATGCAAACCTTATATTTTATGTTTCTCTACATTAGGGAGCCGTAATCAGATCCCATTTTCTGAAACCATCACTCTATAATAACACCCTCTATTTAAAAAATCGTAAATTGAATCATGTGTTGAAAATGCAAATTCATTTTCACGTCTCTGCACTAATAAATTGTGGGCGAAAAAAATGTAAAAAAAAAAGACTGGCCCGGCAAACTCGCGGTGTTGACAACTGACAGAGCTTTGAGGTTGATGGGGGATACAAAAAAAATAAGAAAAAAATAAACAAAAATTTATACATATAAGCCAGTCAAGTGAAGAGAAGAGAAAGAGAAGTACTATAGTACGACTATGGTTATAGTATTTAATTCAGTCACGAGTGTGCACAGTCTACAGGTATGTAGATCAATCTCGCCCGACTGGAGCAGTCAGTGCCGGGCAGGCAGCTTGACTGACTACTGTCTGCTGCTCCTGGTGCTCCCCGTAAATCTTTTTGGCCATTTATTGTTTTTGTTTTTGTAACCCGGGGCTTCAGCCAAGAGGCCTGCCCGGGCTGACTTTGTTGGCTGATTTCTTCTTCTCGCTATTGGCGCAGCAAGTGGCGGCGGCCAAAACGATTTCTGACTTATGATATGGCCAGCTTTTGTGCCATTAATAGAGTTGTTTTCCCGGGAACTTTCGGTTGAGTTGTCACCGCGATTGCGCCTAAATTGAGTTGTTTCTTCTCCCAGCTCTCAGCTCCCAGCCCAATCGAAATGCCATCGGTTCAGCCAAATAGCTTTGGAGCATAAGCCCCAAATGAACGGAAGATATGGCCATCGGATTCCTAATTACCCGCTGTGATTGAATATGAATGGTGGGGCGTACTTCCAGGAAGCTTACCTTTGAGAAGCCAATATTTGGTGTTGCTGTCTGGTGGTGGAGATGATGCATCGCATTGTGGCGTTTGAAAACTGCAAATAGAAAGGGGAGATTGTTAGGAAAACAAATTCTTGAAAATAATGCTAATTAAGTTAATTGACCTTTTGTACCTCGGACAGGGTAAGGTGCGCCCAGGCTAATAAGACATCCGTTTAAATCGATAAAATGTAAAAAATAAATATCCACTAAGTGGATATGAGTATTTTCCCATGGCTGTATAATTTGTATGCAAAAGCCTGGCTAATTAAAAAACTATCTGTTAATAATAGACTGGGTCGGCGATTGTTAGATGCATTTGATTGTTAATTCTCCGATTATATTCTACATACAATGAGCCACTATGTTTGCCGCCTTAAAAAAACAAGTGAATCACAAAAAGAAAATGTGTCATTGTCACCGAGAGAGCTACAGCAACAACAACAACAACTGAAGCTGCAGCAGCAGCAGCAGTCCCCGCAACAGCAACATCAACGATAGTGGCAACAGCAACATCAGGCAGCGATCGCTGAGTGCAATTGCTGTTTTGCAGCTGCATTGGAGGCAGCATCAAGATCAATTATTTTTAAAACACTACGAGATACTCCCGCACCTGGCAAACTAAACAAAACAAAAAGCCACAGAAAACAAAAAAAAAACGCTAAGAAACTGCAACAAAATCAGCATCAAGCCACAATCACCATTGCAACAGCAACAGCAGCAGCAACTGCAACAGCAGCAACCGCAACTGGTAATTTCATTGAACTTGAACGGAAAGGCCATGAATGCAGCCAGATTTTCGCTGGGCCTTAATATTATCCACTACTATCCGGCAAAATACTCAGAAATCCGTTTTGCCAAGAAGTCTGTCGTCAGCGTACCTGACTCGGCCAAAATAAAAATAAAAGGGGAGTGGCACTCGGCTCAATGCCTTTTCCATTTGGCTTTAATGTACGAGTACAAGGGCAAGGGAATGTTGCCGGTTTAGTTGGGTTTTTTTCTGTTTAAAAATTATTTTATAGATAATAATAATACTTTTATAAATTAATTGCCGAAGAAGGTGAAAGAACCTATGATCCTTCAGAGTTTGTTTGATCTCATATAGGTGTTAAAATAAAAAAAACTTATTTATAGTCTCTCTAAGTCACTTAAAAGTTTAAGTTAAAACTATTTTTAAACTGTGACCACTTCACAGGTTATTGCTTTTTTTTAGCATAAATGTATCTGCAAGATTCACTGGCAAACACGACACTACTAAATGGCAGCCAATTATACGGTCTTCGATCTGAATCTGAATCAAGACGCCGCCGGGCTTGAGATCTTGCATATAAACTAAAAACGGAATCGGCGGAATACTCATTGTATTGAAAACTCAATTTCGTTTTATAAATATGTATTTCATTAATCGCGAGTCGCGAATCGATCTTACGACTTGCGACTATGCCACACCCACCCACAAAAAACTACACACTCGGCAACAGGCCGAGACGGAGAGCAAACGAATCCATTGAACTTGGAGATAAAAAGCGATTTCGATGGCGTGCCAATATTAACACAATTTGTGATTATAAATGCTTTTAAACGGTGCAATGACAATGAGCAACAACAGCAACACGGCAACAGCAATACTAGCAATAGCAATAGCAACAGCACACCCAAATAACCGAAAGATACAATATACGAGCCCACAAAACGCCGACAATTTCTCACACTTAGTAGACGACGAGTGAGACAGCAAATGGACCGAGTGAGAGAGACAGAGAGATAAAGGGGAGGGAGAGGCAGTACTTAAGTTTAATTTTTTGCAATTTGTAGAACACATAAATCGCACATTTTGATTTATCGCAATATTTATAGCAATGCCAGGCAGACGCTCGTTGTTACCATTGCAATTGTGAAATTGGCCAAAAGCCGACCTGGCCAGAGCCAGAGTCAGAGTCAGAGCCAGAAAAGACTGGCAACTAGCAGTTGGAGGAGTTGGTGGTTTAGTGGCGATAGCATTTTGGTATTGGTGGTGCCAGTACTGGCATACACTCTGAGATCTGGAATCTGGCTTGGATCTGCAATAGTTTCACATGGGTTTACCTCCACGAGACTTTCCAAGGCCTGTGTGTTATCTATGGGCCTATGTACCGCACAACGCTAATTTGAAAAACAATTTTCGTAATTATCCGCAAACAAAAAAAAGAAAAAGGTAAAAATCTGGTTACAAAAAAAAAAATGGCAACAAAAATAGGTAAGTAAAGAGCGAACGATCTTGTTCGGTTGCGCGTTGACCTGAGCGCATGCGCATTAAAGGAGGATGGGATGGGACAGACCTCTAGGGGGGCTCTGGGGTCTTGGGGGAGGACCTGAGGACCTGGTACCGATCTGCGAGGGGCCCGCAGCAATTTTGGCCCGCCTGGGTTTTGGGTGCGTGCCTAGACGCTTTGGCAATTACTTGGCCAAAAACAATTTCAGCTGGCATTCGGGGGAGCGTGGAGCCTCTGATAGAGGGACACTCGACATATGAATGATGCTGGCTTAAACCAAAGCGAAGCCGTGCGCCTAGCGGTTTTTATTCCGGCCTAAACGAGAGACAGACGAACACTAAAGAAAATTTTGGAGTGACTTATGGGGGTTACTAAAATAAGTCTCAGTTATGCCTTCTTTATCAAGGAATCTGCTAGATATATTTAGGGGAAAATCTATCACATTTAGGGCTTTAGATTCAGTATCCTCCCCCACCTAGAAAATTTTGTGGGAATTCTTCAAGTGCAACGATGGCGGCGGTGGGTCCTGAGCACTCTGCAAACTCAATCTTCGCGGCTGCACAATCTCAATCACAATACAATCACATTCACAATCACAATCTCCATCTGCTCATGACTCATGCATATTCAATCAACGTGCAGCCAATTATCAGCATGCATATGCATCAGTTACCTGGCTGGCGGTTGGCGCTGGACTCACCTTGTTGAAAATAGTTGGCTTTCCGCACATACACACAGACCAGAGCCATCAGCTGCAGCTGCGAGAGGCGCTGCCGCGTGGACTGGGGCAGTGGCAGCAGATCCCGCAGATTGGCTATCTCGGCGTTTATAAGATCGCGTCGCATCTTCGAGGCGCCCTTCGTCGATTTGTTTGCATCGAACCTGCAATGGGAAAGCATATGTGAGTGTCAGTTGGGGGTTTCATTTTAAGGGGGGGTTAAAGAAAAAACAATTAGAATATATGGGCTCGTTCACAGCTACAGCTTAATAACAGCAAACACACACCATTCCCGTATGAATGTGCCACATTGCCACAAAACTAGCCGCCAGGCCAGGCATGTGTTTTCACAGCCGCCTACTCGGGTGTGTTCCTGATTCGAGAATGCCATGTGCCTGCGATGGCTGTCTGTGTGTCTCCTTTTGCCTAAAAGGCTTCTTAACCCATTCTCTAGGTATTTAACAAGATAATATTTACACTAGAATTCTTATTCTGTGTTGGTTATTCCTTGAAAAATTATTTCTTTTGTTGGGTTTTTATCCAGAAATGGTCATAATCCTCATCATTCAACAATCACTTGATTAATTTGCTTTTCTTTTTATTTAATATTCGAAAAATATATTTTAGATAATGGATATAGACTATTAGAAACGATAGAAGGAAGAGGAATTCTTCTATTCTATCCTATGAATAGGAGTTTTTGGTTCAAAAATCATGTAAGTAATGTGTGTGTTTTATGAAAACTTGAAACATTCTATGCAAAAATACATATACATACTTAATTTAATAATTTTTTTAAGAGACTCAATAGAAATATTAAAGGCACTGTTATTCTAAATTGAACATTACAAGGGATGTTTAATATAATGTTTAATAGATGAGGAGTAGTAGTATATTACAGACATATGTATATACATATTTAGAGCTTATAAAATAAACATAACATAAACCTGATTTTCTTCCTAATCTTCCACTATCCTCTTAAAATAAAACCAAAACCCAACCACATCAATTCCAATTTTATTAAACTGACCACAATGGGTTAAGGATGGTTCGCACAATCCGAAAGCTCTCCGATGCACCGATGCATAAATAACTCATCGCGCATTTAAAAATCATACAACGAGCGGTACGTTGTTATTGTTGGTTTTGTTGTTATTGCAGCAGGTCGGTGGTGCACGGTGGATGCTGTGGCTGATGTGGGGCACACTTGCCACATGCCTTGTGCGGCAAAAATTGTGCAAGTAGGTTGGTCAGCTTTGTGCCGCATTGCTGATGCCTTGTTGCAGCAATTGTTGTTGCAGTTGCAGTTGTTGCTGTTGCTGTTGCTGGTTTTGGGGCAAGCGGCATAAACGTTTAGCAAAACTGTCCGTATGTACTTTTGTGAGCATATTATTTACAAGGTTGAATTCATAAATCATAAATTTGTCTTTTTATTCAGCGGCGTCTGCGTCCGAGGCACCGCACCGGTGGTACAAGTGGCGAGGGTGGTGGTGGCGTATGAGCATTTTTATTTATGCTGACGTTGAACCGACCATTGTGGTTGTTGCCACAATCCCCGGCATGTGTTTCTTTCCTCTCGGTTAGCCCCAGCGAGTGCGAGAGCTTTAATAAATATTGGTAATATTGTTGTAATAACAGCAAGTGCCCGCGCCTTTTTGGCTTTCTCGACTGTCTGCCATTTTGCCGCTGTTATTGCCTCTAAATGGCCATGTTAACATTTAAAACAATCTCACTGCGTCCGTGTTTGTTTCGATTTTTTTCCCCCTTTTTTAAGAGTTGGTGGTTGCATGCAACCATTGCAGTAACCAACTGAAACCAAATCGAAACGATCTTGGCCATAATAGAACAGTTTTCCGAACTGTAGGCCCCTTAGAACTCTGAATTGAGTGGTCGACGTGATTTAAGTCAAGGTGATTTGTACAATTAAAATGAATATTGATTTAAAAGCTGCGATTCCGACTCTCCGACTCTGAGTAGTGGTCACTTTGCATATGTTTTGTTTTAGCGAAAGGGAATGTGTGGCAAGATTGATAGGAATTGCTTTATTTACAACCATTTACCAGCCAGCTCTTGTTGTATAAGTTCCTCCATAGATGGGAGATCTCAAGCCCACTCGAACAGTATCTCGAATAGCCCAACTTTGGTCATTCCACCCCCATCATAAACCCCTTCCCTTCCAGCTGAAAACGTTCCTCTTCCAATTAGCTACTTAAAAATGTCAAAAGCTTTTACGATCTGCTATCTGGCTGGCTATTTGTGGCATAATTAATAAGTTTCTCAAATATTTATCATAAACAAGATGCCAGTGGCCGGGGCGATAATATGATAATGTCATCATCCTTTCGTAATGCATGCCAAAATAAAAAAAAAAACCGAAAAACGTGTTAATGGGTATGAGGATGGGAGTGAGATTTATCTGGAGGTTGTACATAGTGCGGGTGGACCAGGACGAAACGGGCCCTGACTGCCGTTCCGTAATCTACATCAAAATTTATCTGAGTGAGCGAGACATGTCAACATTTCTTAATATATCTATCGCTACCTTGAAATCTGCACTAAGTAGCACCACCAACTTGTTGTTGCAGATGCACAGCAGCAGCAGAAGCAGCAGAAAACAGTTTGTGGCAACTACTGTACAAGTTGTTGTTGCTAATTAAAAGCATAAACACGATTCCTGCCCAGGCGTCGAGCGTTAAGGCTCTGCATGTGGAAGTGGATGTGGCAGTGGCTATAGCTGTGGCTGCCACAGTCTTTGTGGCTCCCAAAGCCACATGTTTAATCTTCGGCTGGGGATCCACTGGCGCAGCTGAAAAGATCTTAATCAACTTTGGTCCAGCTTGAAGTTCTCACTGCCACTCCAGCTCCTTTGCTGCCCTTTCGACTACTAGATGAAAAACAAAAAACGCAGGTCCTGGCCCAAAACAAACTTAACGTGCTCCACAGAAATTAGGCACAAATCTTGTTGGCTCAGATTCCTGTGATTCGAAATCTCAGTGTGATCTTGAATGCCAATCGGCAATGCCTCACTAATTAGCACATAAACCATCGGGGCAACTTTATCCCGAACTATTAACTTAAATGGATTTTAAATGCGCATCTATGGGGCATTGCCTCCCATAGGCCTTCCCCCATTTTCAGAGCGTTTTTTATGGCGGGGCCCTCAGAGCGCCATCGTAAAAATGTGTGCAGCGAATAAATCACAGGAACACTGAGCTGCATCCCCACCCTGGTGGAGCTCCACCCGCTAAAGGTGCACTCCGAGAAATAATTTCTACAGAAGGAAGAATTACTTAAAAGGAAGTAGATATCCTTTTTCTATTTTCCCTGTGTATGTATCAATCCAAAGCCTGATTTTAATATACATCAGGGGCGTCAGCCTGGTTGAAGGAGTTCGGTCCACTCCCAGAGCCTTCAAGTGGCTCCCAGACCGAAAACCAAATCCGAAACCCAAACCCAGTCAGCCAGTCAGTCAATACCAATTGCAGGCCAAGAGAAACACGAAATTTGCGCAAATTTTTATTGCACTTTTTCCTGGAGCGTCTTGTCTTCTTCGTCTTCTCCTGACTTGTGTCTTGAGTTGTGCGAATTGTCTAGTCAGAAACTACATAGATAGCCCTCCCGTACAGCCCCCTTTCTCCTTTCTACCACTGGGTACGATTTGCCGGTGTGTGAGTGTAATTTGAGCGAGTTTATTTGCCATATTCCCACGATATAGTTCGGGCCAGGCTATTGAGCTTGCGGGCAGCTCTAATGATTTCTGGTCCGGTCTGGTCTGGTCCGCCCTTTATCTGCCTGGTTGGTTCGTATTTCTTACTGGCCGCAAAAAAATAGTGCAAAACGGCGTATAATGAATGCCAGACCTCTCAAACTGATGGGCAGTTCTCCGAGCCACTCGGCAGATCTTTGGGTAACCCTAAACCCGGTGCTCTGAACCCACACAGTGCTTTTTTGTTCCGAGTTGGCTGCAAATTAATTGCCGAGGCGCCGCACAATGCTTTCCGTTTCGAGGTTTCGAGGATTTCTTGGAATTTTTTGCGGCAAACACTTGTTTTGTCTGGCGAGGACTTTGCCTTCGCCTTCGCGTTGGCCACTTTGCTTTTAGCCTTATTGTATTCTGCGTAAGTCGGTGGCAGTAATCGATATCTTTGCCACCGCAGCGCCTTCACCGTTTAACGTTCAACGTTCAGATACCCACCACACACACACCTCAAGATTAGCATCGAGGCGACGTTTAGCACAGATACGAAAAAAAAGAGCTGGAAAAATGTTGGCCATCTAATAACCATGGGGTGCTGCGGCCTTTAGCCAAATTATATGCCAGGCCATAGGTAAGAGTTGCCCCAGGCGGGTGCCGAGTTTTCAGTGGTGGGGCATCATACTCATGGATAGGTTTTTCAAGTTTTATAAAAGTTATTTAACTAAAATGTTTGATTTATATATTAAAAAGATATTTTAAAATTTTATGGAAATTATTGTAAAAAAATAAAAGAAAAAGTGTTACTACCAAGTGCAAGACCTGCAAGCTGTCAAGTCCTATATTTTTTGGTCCTTCGAGACAGTTCTAGATTATGAACAATATCTCTTTTTATGATCATGATGAATGATCTTGAAAAGTTAATAGGTAATTAATAACTAAATATTTTGGGATTTTTGCATTTATAAAGAAAGAGTTATTATTATTTATAAAGAAAGAGAAGCTATTATTATTTGGGAAGAGCTACCCTAAGATGACTTGGTATTATAAACCCATTAGAGGCCTTTTAAGCTTCAATGAAAAATAATTTTTTGAAACTCAAACTCCAATTTCCTCAAAAATAGTCTTCATTTGACAAGTTTAATTAATTTAATTGCACTTTATTGTTACGATTCCCATTACAAAACAACAAAGATTTAAAATGAAGTATATATTTCTTCCTAAGAAAAAACATCCTACTATTACCCTCCTCAACACAAATCCCAAAAGCCTTGGCCCCAATTATAGAACCTCGGAATCCTATATCCTTAAAGCGTCCTTCAATTATCTCAATCAATTAGCTAACTTACGAGTCTGTGTGTCCGTAAATCGCAGGCATATAATTTAATGCTCTCAAAAGCTCATAAAGAAGTCTGGCGGGCAGCTACTGTGTTTATTTTGACGCATATATTTCAAAAATCGGAGCCACACCACCGGACCATCATGCCACACCGCCCCAGACCGCAAGTGGCAGGCGGCAGGAGGCAAGAGGCAACCGCAACTGAAATTTCATTGCCCCAAAAGAAATGAAATCGAGCTGCTACCGTTGTGGCTGCTCCCGATGCTGATGATGCTGCTGCTGCTGCTGTTGCTCTTGTATGTTTGATTGGAATCTTAGCCACAATTTAATGATGGACTGCCAAAAGCACACTTCGATGATTGGGACTTGGACATCGTCATTTGCTGAAGCTGAACCTGAAGCCAGAGCTGAAGCTGAAGAGCTGGGGAGCTGAGATGGTTCGCCACCGACGCCGCCGCATAATTTTTCATATTTTTATGATTTGTTGCTACCGGGTACTAAACCCGTTTCCTTTTGATTTCGTCTGCCCACCTCTCCCCCTCTGATGGCTTATTCTTTTTTTTGTAGTTTTTGAGCCTAACCATGGAGACCGGCTACTGTTGTTGCTGCATTTGCTTTCGATTATCTTAATTTGCGTGCGAAACTGAGCTTTTTTTTGCGCTCCACCGCCCTCCGTAAGCCAAACCCCAAATTGTGTGTGTACGGAAATTTTCCCATGACTTGGTTCTTGGTCTGGGTCTTGGTCTTGGTCTGGTCTCTCGATCCTGGTCTGTATACTTTTGTGCCCGGCGGTGGCTTGGCCAGAAATTACCCCCAACTACAGTACGGTACGGTACGGTATGCCGTCATCTCTGGGGCCTGAGAGTTTCGGGATTGATGGTTAGCCGTACTGGGCCGGCTACTGGAAAGTGCGGCTGAATACTCCGAGCGGCTGTTGCACTTTACCGTCGTCTGGCAATTAGCCCAGGGATGCCGCAACAAAATAATTTGGTAAGCCAGCCACCAGGGGGCAAGATTCGGGGGCAAGTTTTGTGATGCCCGCGGTGGAGGTGGCGCACTTATTTGATCAGCATTTCGACTTCTATCGAAAAGAGATTCATTCCGGGAGCATTGAAAATCAGTTTAGACGCGAGTCACCAAATATTTGTCTTGGAAATTAGATGGCGGAAGTCAAGCACTGAGAGAAAATCATAAAACAAAGAATAAATCAATCAGGCTTGGGAAAAGTTTTTGAAGTTTTTCTTTAAAACGAAATCTGGTTTATCCCAAGAAGGCAGTTAGTAAATTAAAAATCTTTTCTTAAATAATATAGAATTTTTATCCCCAGTGCATTAGATATATTCAGATATAGTGCAGCTTCCACTGCAACCAAATGGCGGAGTTGGCCAAGTAAACGGCTCTACCTGGATGGCTGCTCGCATTTCTCGTGAAATGTGTTAATGAAATTAGCAGCATAAAATTGCTGCCACCGCCACAGAGATGTGGCCCCTGTGCCTGTGCAATGTTACAGATACAGATACTCGAAAGAAATTGTATCTGTAGCCGGACAGTCCGAGGGTATGCTAATTACCAAAATTAACACCAACGGCGCAGGCCCAAGCACAAACACAAACAAATCCAAGCCGTACGCAACGGTTTCGGTTAGTTTCACTCGAAAAGCACCTACCAAATGCATCTCAAATCGTTTTTTTTTTCTACCTCTATATAAGAGTCTAAAAGAAAAAAAAATTGTATCTTCGTCTTTGACTCTGAACTCAGACTGTGACTTTTCCTTGGCTTTCAGGAGCTGCGGTGCCAGCCAGGTTTGTTGATTCTACGGTTCGAATGTGTTAAAAACAACAAACGCCAAGTTTTCTTCGCTTTAATTAGTGTCATTTATTATTTAGAGCATATTGATATAGTTTTCGTTGTTTAACGGTTGTTTGTTTCAGTTTATGTTTGCTTTTGTGTGATTTTGTTGGATTCAGTGTGAGGCGTTGTGGCAGTGTGGCGGCGTGTTGTTGGCACTTCTCGTTCGAACATGGAAAATATTTATAGAAATCCGCGTCGTCCGATATTTTTTTTACCATTCCATAGCCATTACAAATTATGGTATATGGCGGCAGAGCGCGTGCTTGACTCCCTCCGCCTCGCGAACAATACCCTTTTTTTTTTTTGGGCTACCACCTTTTCAAATTTAATTTTCGTTAGTTCGATAGCCGGGAATTCCAACAATTTCACATGCTAATTGATAGTGTTTCATGGGTCACGTAAAATTCGGATGAATGAACTAATTTAAGTTAGTTGAGGCGGTTTCAACGGGTTTTTTCTATTATCTTAATTATTTTATTCCCATCTAGTTGCTACTAGAAATTGTTTTAATCCTTTATGGATATCACTTCCGTCAGAGGATAACACCTCCAACTACTAAGGCTCTCCCACACAAAAGACAAAAACCCGAAAGAAACAGACAAAGAACGAGCCATCAACAACATCACACGTGATTTTTACACATTTCAGAAGCAAGAAGCCAGCCTCCTCCATGGATCCAAACCTGGGATCCCTACCAGAGGAGCCACTAGTGTGGAGACGCCTTTTTTTTTCGTCTTTTTTTTGTTTGTTGGTTTGGGACGTCGCCTTCGTGGACGTCCGATTGCCAACGTAGTAATGTCAATCGCACTGTGCGGGTTTAACTTATGGCAAAACATTTGAAGCACTAATTAATTGGAGCTAAATAAAATGGCACAGCATCGCCAGATCGGCTCAGCTCAGCTTGGAGTGAATTTTGCGCGTTTTTCTGCTCTTCGCGAATTGGCGCTGGCAGTACGCAGAGACCGGAGTCTCAAGACCCGGTATACGGTGAGATTACGAGAGTCAGATAAATGCGAACTACAAGTTGCCAATACAAGAGGCCATTAAAACCGGCAGCAGAAGCTCCACAGCCAGCACATGGAGAAAATTATATAAAATTCAATATATTTTTCTAGGCTTGATAGAGGAGGTTAAGGAGTATTTTTTTTAATATTTTGTGTAGGTTTTTAAAGTTATTCCACCAGAAATCTTTAGATTCTCTCATATATATTGTATTGTATTTCATATGTATGTATTTCATATAGTCTTAAAGTTTTTACTCAATTGGTCAGAAAGGATTTCCAATCTTTCCCTAATATACCATCCTCCTATAAGTGACACACATTTTAAAAACATATTTTAAGTATATATCGTATCATTAGACCCTTAAGAATCTCTCAAATCTACTAGTATTTTTCCTCTGTGCATTCTCAGAAAAAGTACTAACTGAAAAACAAAAGCCAAGAAAACCCAACAGGAGCAGCATGGAAATTGAAAGGGGTTTGGTCTGGAGAGAGGGCCCAGAAAGCGTTCCGATTCGTCCAAATACGAACTTGGCCTCGTATTTCAAATCCCAATTGACAAATATCGAAGCGTGCGAAACAAATTGAAATTAAAAGTTTGCATGTTTGCGCAGTTTGCAGTTGGCTGGCAGTTCGTAGCTGGTGATAAGGCGGGGCAGATAAGGGGCAATGTTGGCGCTAAGAACTTACCTTGTAAACATGCCGGCTGTCTGTTGCTGTTGTTGCTGTTGCTGCTGCGTCGTCTGCTGCGATTGCTGCTGCTGTTGCTGCTGCATGTGTTGCTGCTGTGACAGGGTTGCTGGTCCTTCATGTTGCGGGAAGTTATGATGCGTGTGCATTTGATGTTGCAAATGATGCTGTTGCTGAAGGTGTTGCTGCTGTTGCTGTTGCTGCTGCTGCAGTTGCAGGACATGATGGTGCAAATGCTGCTGTTGTTGGTGGGAGTGCTGTTGCTGCTGCTGCTGCAGGGCGTGGGTGGGCGGGGTAGCTGCCGTCACCTTGTCTAGGCCACGTTTATTATCCGCATACATTTCGTGGTGCTCGTCACGTTCGCAAATATTTAAACTCAATTCTAAAAGTAAAAAATGACATAGCACTTTATTGGCCTGGTCGCAGATTGTCACGGTTATTTGGGTAAAATCATGATAATATCAATCAATATGTGGATCTTAATAAAAGTCTGCAGACTTTATTTTTTTGCTCCATTTGCTAATGAAATGAAACAACAATTGCTGATTAGGTTTGATTTTTTTTGGTTCAAATCGTAGAAAAGTCAGACACACGTTAGTACAGGGACCGAAAGCGGTGAAAAATACGTAAGTAGTTCATGATATTGTTCGAATTGTTCAAAGAACTGTTTCGTATTGTTATTGGCCATTTGAACAATTGTTAGGCCGTGTCCGGGGTACCCCAGTGATCTCTACCCTCCCCCTCCCGGTCTCGATGATTTGGCGCTTTTGAATTATTTCTTATTTTGAGCATTTGATTGCATAAGTTGAAAACGAAAATGATTTATGGCATTTGATTTGTTTTTTTTTCGGCCCCTGATGGCCGATAAGTAACTAGGGGTTAATGAAATGTCTTACAACACAAATACTAAACACTCCATGGGTTAAGATCTGTGTTGATCACATTTGAAACTCGTTAAGTCTTAAATAATGATCAATCAATTTAAAATTTAGCTTTCAAGCTAACAGATTGAGGATTATAAATGCTTTTTTTTCAAAAAAGGGAAATCCCTGAGTCAACAAATAAGTGTGAAATCAAATAAAAATTTTCCAACCTCATAATATTGATAAAGATTTTAACAAAACACATGTAAATGGAAACTGAAAATGTATGATGTTAGATGATTCCAAATTATAATTCAGATGATTTACATAAATGAAATTTATTTTATTATACCTTTTAAAAATCATTCTTAGTTTATGGTATACAATGAATAAAAATTAATTTTTAAGTTTATTAGAATAATGTTTAAGTTTCTACTGTTATAAATATGACCTATATTTTTAAAGCCTATAGCTCTACTTTCTACCCCCAATTTCCTCAATTATTGAATTAAACTCCACTGTGGCAGCCCCACTATCACTTTCCTTTGACTTTTAAATAAATAGAGCACATTTCCAGGGCACTTGGGCTGGCGCCAAGAAAAAGATCTTAAAGATCCCCTCGAACCATATTCTTCCCGAACCATATTCTACATACAATCGGATCCGAAAAAAAGTGCAACAATTGAAATTAGTTTTGTTAAATGAATTTCAAATTTCCATCTTGAGTATTTACTACCGTCTGTGGGGCTAGGATCTTGGCCTGGCTTTTTGGGTTTTTGGCTTTGTTGCAACTCATTGTCAAGTGAACTTATCAACGGAGAGGCAACAAGAAACAAGCAAACGGCGACGACGACGTCGGCGACGGAGATAAAAAATTTGTTCGAGTTGACGTTTGGAGTGTCATCGAGTCGATGCTTGAATTTGTTTGGAGTTGTTTGAATAGGGACCACCAAAAGTCATTGAATGAAATGAAGAACTCCACAGATATATCTCATTGTACGCGACTTTGCCAGTTTATTCAGAGTCTTTTCAGTGTGTGTGCATTATGGTTTTTTTTTTGTATGAACTCTTTGGTTTTGCTTACTCTTTGAGTATTTTGTTATTTGATTTATATCAAAGTTAATAATGAAATTGGAACCTTGGGGACTGAACTTACCTTTCGGCTCAAAAGATTCAATTTGCGATATCCATTTGGTTTTAGAGCTAGCTCCAATAGCATTTGGCATAAATAATTATTTCATAATTTACTTTGATCATCCACAATGTTTGACACTTGATGAATAACTTTTTATTTACTTATTATTACTGCTTTATACGAAATATTTACTAATATTATTAGATCCAATATGGGGTTTCTATTGCACAATATTTGATTTGCTTATTTTCTATTCTATTCTTTTCATTTGCTTTTACATTCGAATTCAGAGAATCATTGCATATTCAACACTTTGATTAAATCAAGATTTATGGGTTTCTTTTCGAGAAAAACTCAGCTGGGATTTGCAAATCAAATTGGCCAAATGACGCACAGCATTACGTGTTAGCCAAGTACCATCGATCTCGGATCGACCTCCGACTTTCCGACACAACGATTGCGAACCGATCCCGCGAATCAATATACCGACGGCTTTGGAACTTGGCACTTGGTACTGGGATACTCAGTACGCTGCTTTACTGGCTTTGCCTACTGGCTTAAGAAAATCCGTTTCGGATCGTCGATAAAAAAGCACACAAGAACCTCGAATCGGTTCCACACAACCGTGTTGAATGCGCGCGTGCACCTTTCTGTGCGGATCACCGGAGCGACACAGAAGCGGCAAACTTGATTCCCAAACAGGTAAGGTAGCTTTCGTTCAGTTTGCAGCACAACCAAAATCCCAAGCCGGGCTCTTGAGCTGCCCCTGCATTAGTATCTGTGTGCCACAGCATACGGGTGTGGGTGCGATTCACCCAATGAGGATCTCGATTGTACACTTAAAGATACAGATTTAGGTTTATTTTAAGATACATTTATAAAATGTCTTTTAGGATAAAAAATACTTAAATTATTAAGAATACTATTGTGTCATTATTATTATGACTAGGAAACTTTTTAATATTTTTAGTCAAAGGAACTAATTGGAAGGAGGAACTAATCGAGTACCATTATGAGTACATATTTACTGTTTATTTTTGGTAATGCTAATAATAAAAACTTGGTATTAAAATAAATGAAAAATGGTAAGCCTTCTTAACTCAGAGAACTAAAATCTCTGACCCATTTAAGACAGAATTTTATTAAAAATTAAAATATCGAAACAAAAAGGACTAAATTTGAAAACAATATAATTTATTTAAAAAACCTGTACTACCAAAAATCCTAACCCCATTTTCTCTAAGTGCTTGTGGTCTATTGCGACCTACTCAACCACAAACCAGGCAACACACACACTCCCAGCAACCGACCAATACACGGAGCCAAGCGATCATTTTGTAAACGCCTTTTTTCTCACGTATTCTTCAGGTAAACACTCACAGAGACAGGCTCCGACACTCACACTCTTGTCGGTCTGTCTTGCCGGTTTCTGCTGCCCACTCAGCTGTAAATCTCCGCGAGTTAGCCATAAATCAATTAAGGCCGATAAATACTATAATAAAACACTTCAAACAATCAGCCAGATTGGGAAACGCTGATCAGATCGTTAAATATTTTCTATGATTTCCAGTTGCGTGCTATGTCAGCTTTGACTTTGGCCAATATCATGCGCAATGTTGGCAACTCTGGCTCTTATTTGGTTAACACTCATTCAAGACTCGTGTGAGTGTGTTTGTGGAACTGCTTGCTGGTGTGAAGCTGATCGTTGATTGGTTCCCTATGGCGATGCTCGTTTAAAAGCTATTTACAATTTTTTTCCTCTTTTGGTTTGCTTTGTTTTGCTTTTGAGGTTTGTGGTCAACACAAAAGGCGGCTTAAACGGTGCGAGCCAATAGAAATCTGATATCTGTAGTTTTTTCTATTTTTATGGCAATGTGCGTGTGCCAGAGTGTGTTTGTGTATGGAATTTAGTTGCAGACTTAATTTAATTGCTGGCGATTAGTTTAATGAGGCTGCGAATGGAGGTTGATTGTTTCGGCTCTAATATGGAGCATTTTAATCACGAAAACATTTGCCATTTGATTTGATGGCTAAGATTGGATGGGAGGATAGTAAACAATATAAGAAATTAGAAATTAGAAATTAGGTTTTTAGGATTAAGTTATCAAAGAAAATCAAATAAAATTTAATCGAATTAAATTTGAGAAATTACAGATACAAAATAAGGATTGTTATTGAGGTTACTAGTTATTTTGTTTTTACTGAAGTTAAACAAATTTCTAAATGCTTTAATTTTTAAAGAAATATAAATAGACACCTCCACTATATTTAATAATTATATCATTATAAGATATTGAAGATAATGATGTTTTGAAAGAAATGTATAAAATTATAAAGATGGACTAAAACAATACATATAGTAGCTCCTTAAGCCCTGATAATTAAAATTCCTTCCGATATTCCACAAAAATTTACTGCACTGTCCTAAATAGTCAAATAAATCACGACTTTCGCAGTTCGGGCCAGACATTCTTGCCATCAAATTGCTGTCAATGACTGGAAAACAGGACTCGTGTCTTTCTTCTTTTTTTTTTCGTTTTGCTACCAGACTTTCTTAGCTTCTGGTTTAGAATTTCAGCTATGGGACATGGAGGAAAATTACCATTTAACCAAAAACATAAACAAGTCGTGCGCTATATGCAATGAATATTCGATTAGCCTAAAAAAAAATCATTCAATCAATTTGGAGAGGTGTAAGTCAGCAAGAAAGAAACAAATTGAATACAAATTCATTTATTAATTGCCAAAGAAACTAAATTGGGAATAAATGTGTGGGATATTGTGGCCATCTTTAAGTTGAAATAAATTTAAAAAAATCCACATCTCATTGAAGGCATTTTAATGTGTGGGAAAACACTAGAGATAAGAGACTAAAGTATGTTCTAACCCTCCTTCTAACCATAACTGATGAGTCATTAAACCCCTTTTTTTCTTAATATGTATAGCTAACTCTTGGATCTTCGGTTGGCTCTTTGAACTGTGGCCGGTCGCGTGTCTGAGGAACGAGTCACCCGTTGCCACATTCGGTTGCACTATTGGGTGACTCAAACACGTCTGGACTATCGGTAGACAGAATGAATATTAACTAGGGACCTTTCCTCTGAGTATGAGTGTTCGATCCCGCATCGAAATGTTTTGGGTCAGGAACTCGACATGCCGGAAGTCAGTCAGTCGGGCACGCGCTGAGTGTGAAGCCTTTGATTTAACCGATTTGGTTTGAAAATCGACAATCTTACCAAATAATTACTGGCAGACGATCCGAATTTTAAACTATTTTATTTCTAATGAAACAAAAACATATTTCTAATGGAAGTTAACTAACTATATTAAAACCTACCACCTCTTAAAATGGAATATCGACTCTGTTCTGTGGCCTTTGCTCCATTTTGTCCAAATTCCATTGAGGCCTTTTTTTCATGCCAATTTTATGCCCAGGGCAATCCCACGCCCATAAAAACAGGCGAGACCCCAGCACGAGTCAAATGTCGTATTTCATTAGACTCATGTTAACGCAGCCGTGTCTGAAGTCCCCAGTATCGCCCAAAGTCGGCCGATTCGAAACCAATATCCCGATGCCAATAGAATTGTAAACACATCAACCCACAAGAAAACTTAAAGGAGAACACAGAATTGAATTACATGAAAATGCTCGATGCGTTTGCGGAAAGGAAATCGTACAAACTGGTCATGAAAAATGCATCACTTGACCGGCCACAGACCATAAACCAAAAAAAAAAAAAACCAAAACGTTAGCCAGACGAAGAGGACGTCGGAGCCGACGACAACCTGGCCAGAACTCGGAGCTTGGCTTATGAACTGCGGCTCCGACTGCGGCTTTAACATTGGCTACGAGACTGATCCTTTTCCTGGCCGAGTGATGAAAATGTACGACTTTTGCTCCAGGCGCTAAGTGAGCTCACAAAAAATATTTCACTTTTTATGGTGAATGCGCTTTGGTTTGGGGTTTACATGACTATAACTTGAAGTTCGTTTAGGATCTAGGGATTCGGATTTTGAATAGCATTTATATATCTCTGTCATATGATTATTATACCTTCAAGAATCTACTTTTTATAAAAATTTTTAAATATCTAAGATCTTAATGTATGATTTTGTACTTAAAAATATTTTGTCCTATACAAATAAAGACATTTTAGAGCAAAGGGTATAATTATAATAATATATTTAAATCTGAAAATCCATAAACACCTAAAAAATTTTATATAAATTAAGGAACTTGATAAAAAATGGAAGTACTTATTATAAAATCATTACCAACATATTATTAACCTGTATACCTTTAAGCCTTTATTAAAACAAATTTAAAGAGTATCTCAAAATCATAAAGATCCTGGACCATCACAATCTTCTTATTTAGTTACAGTTCCACACACACCCAAAGAGAGCGAGAACGAAATACCCAAGCAGGCGCCCCGGGGTGGGTACGGACCTGGCCAAGACAATCCCCAAAAGCCGGGCCAACTGAAACGACGTCGGCGACGCGTCGACGACCAGCCGTCTAGGTGGTGCTAACCTCTTGCAGTTGGTGGTGCGGCTTGCCCCACTCTCTGAAATCAATCGATTCGACATTATTATTAATTTTTCATAACTTCTGCGGCGGCCAGCGCCTGGCGGCCCTCTGTGTGCAATATGGCGCCCCGGAACCCTGGAACCCTGAAAACCAGGAACCCTAACTCCATGGCCATGTGAAACTAATCTATTTGTGCGGCAAAAAGGGCCGCCTAGTCGGACTCCAAGCCGCCGGTTCATCCGCTAGCTTTGAGGGCACTACAAAAAAATATATTGATTAAAAGAAAAAACATATTATAAATATGTACAATTTATTTTTCAAATAGAAGAGGCATTTGTTAATAAAATATCAATAGCTTTAGAAGGAAACATATATTTATTTTATAGTTTTGTAACCCTTTTTTCTTCTCAGTGTATCTTGGAGGCTGGCAAACGGACTACAAAGCGTGTTATCTGCTATCGCTGCGCTTTGATCTTTCACCGCTTCTGCTTTGCATAATAAATTCGCTATCGATGAAAACTAACTTGCAACCCGATGCGCAGGGCCGGGATTTCGGATTTCCCTGGCAATTTGTTTGCCTTTTTTTTGTAGTTGCCTTTTGGCCATCGGCCGTTTAATTCGATTGCCAGTGCGATTTCGGCTTCGCCTTAACCATTTTATTACAATAGCATAATTTTTTACTATGCTTAATGAGTTCTGCTTTGATTAGTTTTTCACATTGTTGTTGTCTGGTCCAGGTACCTCCTTCTCCAGGTTGTCCCCCTCCTCCTAGTTCCCATCCTGTCGATGATTTTTGCTCGTGGCTATATTGTTGTTGGTGTGGTGTCTGGTCCCTTCGACTCGGCTGGATATTGAGCTGGATTTGGCTAGGAGGGGGTTTAATTTTTTCAACTGATTACACTTTCAATACTATTAGCATTACTTATTGAAATGTTTCAATTTGCCAATTGACTTGCATAAGGACAACCTGAAAGAATCTAAAAGACATTCCTTCTATAATTAAATAGCTCCGACAAAACTGTATTGTTTTAATAAGTATTGTTATAGTATTTACATTTAATATAACAAATATTTATTTTTAAAATTATTAATAACCAATTAACAAATCCAAATTTACTCTAATTACTTAAATTTTAATTAAAGTCTTAAAATGTCTTATTTGATTTATTTTAACTTTATTACATTACCTTGGTATACAATTTTTAAAAATCTCCCGCCAAACACTGCTTGAAACCACAAGAAAGCAGTGCGTTTTTGGTGATTGCAGCCCTGAGCATTTAACGCGATTATGAGAACGGCTTACAAAGCTTTTTAAGGCCAGATGCTTTCAAAGGTTTTAGCCCGCGAATGGATGACAATATTCGAATTCCAAACTTTAATATTATTTTTGGTAAATATTATAGATTGTCAATAAATTTTTAAATTAAAAACAAATATTATTATTTAATTGTTTTTAAAGAGTATATTAATATTTTTATGATAAAGACTTAGTTTTAACTTCTATTGATACAAAACATCACATTGTTACATTTTGCTTATAAAAATTATCAAAATTTAACATTCATAGCTTTGTTTTGATGTTTTTTTAATATATATTTGCCATGTAACTTATTTGAGGCTTTATAAGACCTTATATAATATATTACCAGGAAAATTTAACCAGCAATCTGCAAAGATTAACATTTCATGATTAAGTAAATAAAAAATAATAAAATACAAAAAAAATATTATAAGTAAAAGTTTTTTCTTGCTGTAAGGTGTTATGCTGAAAGTGCGTACTTTACTTTGAACTTGCAAAACGCTATCAAATTATCGGTATCAGCGGGCTTTTTTTATATACATACTATATGTGTGTTATTTGCTGGGGGTCCATCGTGTGAGCTCAGTGCCTCCCAACAATAAAAAGGCGCGTGGCTTTTCATACTCTTGCAAAGGGTGTTACGATTTTCCAAACTATGGTGTGACTAATAAATGACTGGTTTTCAATAAACTTAGGCAATACTTTTCTGATTGGCAAATGTTATACCTTCCCGATCAGGGATCTTCGAGTAACATACCCTTAAGTAACAACAAGGGTATGTAGTATTCGGCTCTCCCCGAAATTGTATTTCCTTTCTTGTTTTATATTCTTTTTTTTCTTACCCTATATGCAAAGCAAAGTATACTGCAAATATTTATATGCAAATTAACTTGGCGGGGTATTTTTGGCAAATTTTCACGGGTAGGTACTTTTAAGAGGCCTTGACATTGGGCAAGTGTGGTGGTGGGAAGCAGCACAAGTCAGCTGAAAAAGATATAGATATAATTAAATAGAAACAAATATCATGCACATGCCACGAAAAAACCGGCAAAATTTGGTATATAATGGCCTGAGTACCGCCAAGCGATCGGCGCATGTCACTGTTATTGTTATTCTTACTCACAAAAATATACAGACGTCCGAAGTTGTTGTTTCACGATCCACTGATATGCCTAAAAATAAAACGCCGCTCGGCTGAGTGTGAGTATTGTATCAATTGATAACTGCACGGCCGTAAAGCGACATCTCACCTCCAAAGTTGTTGCGTCGTGTTTTTTTGCCGAGTAATTCCGTTCCCAAGAAATTCCAAAGAAAAAAAGTACGGCGATCTCTTGCACTGAGAAAAATTAAAGACTTTTAAGAGCTTCATAAACGTATTCATTAAAAACAAACATATATGCATATACGATATATTTTTCATTTCCGGTTGCCATTTTTGCACGTCCTTACAAAATAAAAAATGCATAGCATACTTCAAGGAGCTCAGCAAGCAGTGAACTGCAGTGTTCTCTTCAATTCTATTTATATAATTTTTTTTTTTTAAATATACCAAACTAAATAAATAAATTAACAGAAACCCACAGTAACCAAAAATAGAAATAAATATTTTGGACTTTGTCCGACCGAACGACTTATTTATTTTGTGTACTTAGATTAATTAGGGAATTTTATTTTGTTTCTATTTAATCAGATGTATTTGGGCCGTGTGACCGGCGCGTGTTCCTCGGGCTAAATTCGGGCATTAGACTTGATTACGCACTTTAATTTTATGGGCATTTATGTGGGAGGCCCGATGGGGCGGGTTTATAGGGGCGATTGCATTGACGCAAGCCGCTGGCCACGCCCCACAGCTTGATAGCAATTAAATGACACTTGAAGAGCGATTGCCCTGACAGGAAATGAAAGGGTGAGGAAATATGCAAATGATTTGAAGACTGGCCAGACACTTGCGTGTATCTATGGTCTTTATGGCCATGTTTCTTTTGTTTTACGCGCGTACACGTGTCGGCAATTGAAATAGGAAAGCGTCGCCGGCACAGACACCCACGAGCCCATTAAAATCACACATAACGTACATGAACGGGGTTTTCGGGAGAATGGAGAGAGTCAGGGCCAGTATTCTGAGCCAGCGACGACTCATGTGTTATGCTAATTTCTCTTTTATTGTTCTACACTCGCCATTTGCCGCCGTCTTCGTCAGAAGCAGACGATTAAAGCGAAACAGGAAATCAGACGTCGCCCCGTTTACCGTTAGTTCCCCAAGCAGAGGCTGCTTGCAGCTGACATAAGCCAAAGGCCATTGAATTGCCTTTTCCATACGACAGGGGCGCGAGTCTTCTAGGTGTAGTAGTGTATAAATAATTTTAAATATAAATTAAAAATATTAATTTATTTATATAAGTATATTATTTATGATAAATTAAATTAATTTTTCCTATATTTTATTTTTAAAACCCCATAATTTTTATCCAAGTTCCACTGTATTTACATACATACATATATCCACAAAAACACAACTCATTCAAACAGACGCTAGCAGAAGGGGAGGAAGCGAAAGCAATCGGCCGTAACAAAATTTCCGACACGTGCGACAAAATTGCCTGCCCCGAGGGGGGGTGAAGCAGAGGTGGCGGGCAGGAAGGTACCCGAGGCCCCCGATTTAGGCAACCAGAAAGGCCCAAACAGCAACAAACCCAACCCCTATTACTTTTGGATTTTCTATTTTCTTCAACAGCTTTCCCAATTGTTGTCTCAACATTGTTGCTGCAACATTTTTAATAGAGGGCGTTTTTTGCACCAAAAAGCGTGACAGCAGTGGCTGGCTTTTTTATTAAACCCATAAATACTTATTATTTAGATGGAAGCACATGCATAAAAACGCTTAGAGGGAACACAAATTAAAATAGAATTTTATTGATAAGAGCAGCGATAATATTAACGAGATTAATATTCGAACCAAACTTAATTAGTGACTAATCAGCAAAAACGTGGAATACTCAAATATATATTATCTGTACTACAATTAAATTAAGCAGTAGAAGTTCTATGACTTTTTGCTTTTTTTTTTGAAAGTGTCAATATCAAACTAAGTTAATCCTTTAATCAAAATAAATTACTCATACCACCCGTAGGCCAGTTCATAGATTTACAATATTTAAAATATACATTAATGTTTTTTACATTTTTTCTAACTTTAAAGTATATGACATAGAATTATTTAATTACTTTTTTTAATTAAATTAAGTTTTTTTGTAAAAATTAAACCCAATTACAACCATTAGGAAAAATTACGTATACGAAACGTTGAGAAAACTATACCACTTTATTAAGACTTCGTTTTTTGACATAACAATGTGTTGGACAGATAAATATAATATTTTAATAACAACCCGTGTTACGGTTGAAAACATAAACTAACTGAACTAATAATGAAAATTAGTTTATTTTTCGTTATTAAATAATCTATAAATTACTCTTAACGGAGGCAAGAGAGTGCAAAGATACTAGATACTAGATATTTATTATAAAATGTGCTACTAAAATCAATTAAAAATGTCAGAAAAATGAAAATCATTTCTTGCCATATTCCCTTGTGTTGCCAAAACATTTTCGCCACGTTTGCTGGGTGCACGTTGGGGCCAGAGCTCCTATTAAAACGTCGCTCGGTCCACGGGCGCATTCATTCTGCTCTGGGCCGTCGAACAGTTCGCTTCGCATTCGAGCCAAATAAAAAACTGGAAAGAGGCGCGTTCCGTGAGCTTCGAGAGCTTCGTGGATTCACAAACGAGAGTCTACGTACTCGGGCAGCATATCCGTGTTTGTTGTTTGCCAGCGCGTGTGAGTGCCACTGCCATAAGGTGTGCGAGTGTGTCTGTGAGTGTGGCAGTTACTGGTGTTTTTGTTGTTGTACGACAGCCCCACGCGCAACGAAAGCGAAAGTTTTGTTTGGCGCGCGTGTTGCCATTGGCGTCGCGAATGTCTATGAATTTGCACACACCCGTACCTACTCGTACGTACCACCTAGAATAGATTAAAAGCCTGTGAAAACAACAAAAATCGCTTGGCGAGAATATGCTGTTCATTATTTCCAATGAGGGTGCATTAAATTAAAGGAATCGTGTTAGCCAAGCGGAAAGACAAAATCAACACACACACCCCCAAAGAAATACAAGAAGCCCTCCACCCCATCATTCCTGCAACATTTCGGGTAAGTCCCAGAGTGCTGTGTGCGAAAAGGTTGTGCGGCCATAAATCTCCGAGCATTAGCATTAGCATTTGCCAACATTTGTGTGGCACACGTGCCGCGCGGAATAATAATAAAAGAAAAAATTGCACTTGACAGCCGACTTCCGATGCCGAAAGCTCTCGCAACTAGAGATGCTGCTGTTTAGGCTTAGGCCACTCTAACTCCCACCACCCAACGTTTTTTTTACCTCACCTTCTGAAGGACGAATTTAGGTCAGGATCCGTGGGCTCGATGGGTGACGCAGGCCCTGCCCTTTGGCCTTTCACATTGGCTGGTGCAACGCTAAAGTGCATTTCGTCGGGTTACATGGCGTATGCGCAATATTGATTTCTTAAGCTCACAACTACTGGCAAAGGAGTGAGTGGCTTTTAAAGCTCGGCATCAAAAAGTAAACAAAATATGGAAATAAATAAAATGAGTGTGGGAAAACCCCAACCCATAAACGAACCACTTTACTGGAAATATGAAGCAATATACATTTTAAAGAGCTCAGTGCCCTTGGGAGCATCATAAAGAGCATAAAGTTCGAAAAGGTTTCGGGCCTAAACAAATGTCCTTCGTAATGTAGCCCACTCCTTGGGGAATCATAATGTTTATGTATAGTTTAGTTTTCTAATAACTTATTGTTTTCCCAACTAAACAAAACAAAAGTTCAGCATGACTGTGGGTTATCCCACAATTTATTTGTTGGCTCGCCGATTCTTAGAAATAAGATAAAAAGAAGCATACTTCCGCTTGAAGACTCGATTTTTTTTCATCTTAACATAAGCCCTGTTGTCTGAGCGTGTGAAATGCTTCCAAAGTGGGCACCAAATAAACATAAGCCTTTGTTTTTTTCCATACCATCAAAACAAAAATAGAAAAGTCGCGTTTTTTGTGTGGTGGAATAGCTTTTGCAACTGCCTCTTCGTGGAGCTCTAAAAAGAAGCGATGGCTCAGCTAAAGTGAATCAAGCTGTGACTCAAAACTGACAGCTGTTTGTTTATTTATTTATTTATTTATTTACTCGTGAAACCAATGAATTCGTTTGACTTAGACTTTCTGCTTAAACAAACCGTGTTGTATGCTTAAAAGAAAAGAAATCTTTCGATTCAAGATTTGTGCAAATAAGTGGAAATTAATCTGGTTTTAATGGGTATTATTACTTTAATATTTGAAAAGATATTACAAAAATTTGTGGTCTTTTTATTCAAACTGTAGTGTGTTAAGGGCTGTATAATTTTATGAGCCTTATGCCAACAGGAAGTCCAAATACATAGTCTGCGGACACATGCAGGTGCTTATAGAGAGCCCCCACCATATCTATATCTATGATAGGTAACTTTTGCGCGTGTGCCCGAAACCGCCCCATTCATGACACCCCATGACGCCCATAATCGTAGATTTATCATTTTTTGTCGAACGCGCGCGTTCCGCATTACAACAACAAACAGCAACAGAAAAAGCAGCAAAAAAAAAATATGAGCCCCATCCGATATATAAATATAAACACGAGCAAAAAATAAAAAAAAAACGCTGATACGCGGATCGACAGCGACGCCGACTGCGACCGCAATGCCTCTGGCCGCGGCCCCAAAAGCCAAATGGGGAGCAGTGGAGAAACGGGAGCGCGCGCAGCTTGCCGGCGCAACACGTGCGTTGTTAATTCAATAAAAAAAAAATCAGAAAAAAACAACAAGCGACTGTATAAAAAATAAGAGCACACAAACACAAACAGACGTTCTAGGCCAGCCGGAGTGTTGGCAGAGAAGAGAGATAGTAGCATAAAAGTTCATTAACGGCATGTGAGCTTTTCTTTGTGTGAGTGCCCATTGTCTTTGGCCGGCTCTCCCGTGGCTTGTGTTTCAGATTAAGGGGAGAGGGGCTTTTATCTCTCTCCAGCACACTAGCTTGAGGGCAAGCTAGTTATATTATTATATGAAAATATTTATTTACGTATGTGCATGAAATCTTGAAGATTTTATTTATCTATTTCTTTAAACTAGAAATAGCCATTTTGCACTGCAGTGAAAATTTTTGTTTTTGCCCTTGTCGGCTAGCAGTGCTCGTGTCTATGAAATTATCGCCAAGTGGGCTACCGCAGCCGGCGCCGCAGTCAGCAACGAACGCCGCTGGCAACTGCTGCTGTGGCTGCGATTGAATGACAAAGTCTTCTTTGTTTTTGCCTGTGTTTTCTATTTTTTTTTTTTTTTTGTTTTTAATTTATGCAGGCAACTACAAAATTAATTCTCTTTTTCGCATTGGCTTTTGGTCTTGTCGTTTGGCATCTGTCTGTGCTTTCGGTCGCACGTGTGCGACTATTGGCGTTTCTGTGTGTGTGCGTGTGCGGGTGAGGGTGTGTGGGGCCATTATTTTAAACTGTAACATCCGAAATTGCTAACGGCTACTGAGGGCCCATGAATGCCAAATGTGAAACACGAGACGCCACAAATAACAATAAAAAATTGACTAATTTTCTGAAGTCTAATTAATTCGGCTAATGGCTTATTAAGGGGATCAGGCACTGGAATCCCATTGAGATTTATGCAAATCTTCCACAGCATAAATTTTGAGCCATTTCCGGAGGAAGATTAATCCATTTTAGTGACGTTTATTGTTTCGATAAGATTCTGAGGAAGTTGAAAATATTTTCAAGTTATCGCACCCTCGGGAGAGTTGCCCACATGACGTATGCGTAATATATCATTTGGAATTCCCAGAATGTCGGAGCTCTGGGTGACGGACTACACATGTATAGTTTTTTTATTGTTTGCTTATTAAAATGGCATTCAATTGGTTTCCTGTCTGGGCAAAAGTTCAACAAGGCTGTATAATAAATTAGATTCCACGCGATTTATAATTTGCAACATGAAAATAAGCGTAAAAACTTTATGAGGAATAAAAAGCAAAGAAAAATTGACTTTCCAAGTGAATTTCCAGAATTAATAATTTATGCAAATTTGAAAAGTTTAAAAGAAAAATGTCCTGTCATGTTGGCAATCAATATTGTACTTGGCCAGCCACTTCTGAAGGGTGCCTCTCGAACTGCCCAAGAGCAGCTGTTTGCACTTGGGTTGGCAACAAATACTCGGACATCTGCTACGGCACTACCACCCCATAAACTACTATATTTATACCATATCTACTATATATGGTATATGGCTTGTGAGTAGAGCTAATTGCTGACCCAATAACGATAGACACACGACGCCTTAATAAATGTAACTGTAAATGAGTGCACGCGCGGCTGATATTTGCCAAAGTGTTGGTTTGTTTGAGAAAATGCTCGCTTTGACGGAAGCAAAGTAAACCGACCTGCCCCATCCCGACTATTTCGACATTTCTCCTTCATAAATGAGCCGCACGTGTGGCCAAAACAAGCAATAATCGCTCAATTGTTGTTGCCATCTATTGTCTCCCCGTCTCCCGTTTCGCTATGTATTTTTTTGCTCATTTTATGACCACATTAGCGAATTATATTTCACTGCCATTCAAAGCGTAGAGACACAGACTAGGCAAACATAAATTAAACAAAGGCTGGGCATTGTGACTAGACCGGGGCAAGGGAACTAGCCAACACGCGCCGTTTCTGGTTTTACTCTTCAGCTGCCTTCTAATACTTCGTAGATATGTACATATGTACATATGTACAAAAATATATATACTTTGGTTTTGTTTTTGGGGATGCCCCCTCGGAGGCTACTGTCAGTGAACTGTTTTGGCCATTCGCCGTCTCTTTTGTAACTAATCCGGTGGAGAGCTTCAAGTCATGTGAGCCGGCAGCCGGCCGCCGGCTGCTTTCAAAGAGACGATCTCTGACACCGTCATACTGACTCACATCTTGGCCGAGAAACCTTAAGTCTAACTTATGACTACACGAGCGAATTATTATCTTGGTTTAAAAAACATAATCGCTTGCTCGTGTGACTCCTGAAAGTCGCACCTTTATAAGGTTTGTTCGTGAGAATTGTTTGATCTTTTGTTATTTAACTTTTCGTGTCACAGATAATAATTAGCTTGACCTAGTTTGTAATTTTTATTTTTTAATGTCCGTTAAGAATTAATTAATAAAATAAATGGCTTACCTTTATTGTCTTTTTTCTTAGGTCAGTTTAGTTTCGAAAAAAAAATACTTCAATACCCCAATCAAGAAGTCAATATTTAATTCTGAACCTATTGACATGCAACAAATATCAAGCATACGCTTTCATATATATCGAGTATACGCACTGTTGCCCTGGAAAAGCAAACACACGTGCTGAAGAAATCAATTAATTAATATTAAAGACAGGCCATAACATTTTTATGATGTGCCAATGAAACGAGCCTAGCGAAAAACGAATTATTGTCGACAAAATGTCAAAACACCCAAAAACACTTCCAAATCTTAATTTATGTTTTCAAATCATAAAATTCGGTAAGAACAGGCTTTTATTCTTCTACCCACGATCCAATTAGCCAATACAATGTTAGTAAAAAAAAGTTGAATAATAAAATCAAACCCAAAACGCACTCTTATGTCTTCAAAATGCAAATACCTATGGAGATCTATCAATTAGTGACGCACGACCTGTATCAATCACATTCGTGTTTTATGCTTGTGCGAGATCTGGTTTCGCTTTTTCGACCCAACAATGTTTTATTATGGCTTTAGGCATTGAGACGTTTAGCTAATTAGGCTGTTGATTAATGTATGGGGATATATCATTTATGTCTTAGTAGCGGAACAAAAAACCAAAGAATTGGCTTTTATTTCCCACTCTTTTGCCATAAAAAACATAGACTTAAAAATGGACAGGGACTTACTTACAGTTGCAAAGATTTTAAGTCAAATAGGTAAACAATCTACTGATGGATGCTACTCAAAATAAATGCGAGAAGATTACCTGAAGATTGGGGTTGGATTGTTTGTTGTCTTAAACAGAAATCTCTGTTCGATTGCAAATGGAAGCCAGACGACCGCCGATGCTTGAGTCTTTTTGTCTCTAAGAGCCCATCAATGTTGTTTTTTTGTGGGGTTCCGGGTTGTTGTTTTATTTGAGCCATGTCTTGACTGTTATTGGTTTCCTCTTATCGAGAAGTCATAATTTGGTACACGTGTGTCTCATTTAATGCTTTTTTTTTTTGGCATTTATTTGCTTTTCTCGTCTGCCATCATAAATTTTTATCGCCTGTCGTCGTGTTCTATTGGGTAACCGAAAATTTCATCATCAAATAGCTGCCTGATCTGATCTATTGAGCTTGCTAATCTTTGGACCCCGTCTAGACCGCTCTTAGCGCTGGAAATGTGGTTCCTGGCCTTTGCGCCTCCCCCAATCTCCCGATCCGGAGGCAATCCCCACTTTGGGCACGTTTTTTCAACTTAACCGTATCTAAAAACAATTATGACGCATTCAGATTGCCTTGTGGGTTGTAGTTGTTGGCTTTTAGTTGATAGTTTTTTTTTTTTTTTTGACCCTGTTGCCGTCTGGACGTTTTGGCGCATGTGCCGCGATAAGAATGAAAAAATTAGCACTTTCCCGTTGTGGTGGAAATAATAACTTTGCTAAGGGGCAGCTCCAACAAAGTCAAAATAAGTAATGGAATTAGGTTGAATGATAACTTAATAAACTAATAATACTCTTCAAAAAATATAAACCTACATACACATATAATTTTTAAATGTATTGTAATTATACTCTTACTTTCCCACAATAGTTCTTATACCCTTTCTGGAAACTTAGAGTATAATCTGAAAAGAATAAACAAATCTTAGGAAAACATGCCCCCATGTACATATGTAAACAAAAAAGTAAGAAACAGTCATAAAATACACATGCAGCGGAAAGTTTTATATAGATGGGATTTCATTTCGCTGGCGGCGTCTTTAAAATGAGCGGCGCGTGTAAGTCTATTAGATAAGGTCAAAAATGAAAGGAATGCCCATGACAGATTACATCGTGACTATAATTAGAAAGCAAAAGGAATTTCCAGGCAAACCCTCTAAGAAAAATATCAAGTATACGCCCTGGAGGGCAAAGAAATAGTTTACCTTTTCAGCTGTTGCTAGATAAATGTAGTACTCATTTTAGTAATGAATATTTTAAGTACCCAGCCGTACAGTAGGTGGAGGCGAGCATTTAGAGAAACGATACCCCAGTGCAATTTAAAACGCTTTTCGTGCCGAAACCAACATAGGCCAGACGAGACGAAACGAGACGAGAGGGAACGGGTTGGGACGAGACGGCTTCACCTGACCACACACTCATTTACATATTTGTACCCGCATGTCTGAGGAGACGTCTAACGGAGTACTGACAGTCATATGTTGGCATATGGGAGGCCACTATATTGTACTGCCCGGCAGGGTTTTACATTACACATGACAAATAATTCTTAAAATGGCAACGCCTTTTGCAAGCAAACAGTAGAGGCTACAAAAATAATATTTTTAAAAAAAGAACTAAAGAATATTTAAAAGTTACCTACAATATTTTTACACATTTTTTTAATATGGTACTTTATATACTTCTTTTCTTAGTACTTTCGCCGGAGGTTTAAGCTTTCAAAAAATGCTTTAAAAAAAGATAAACTTTAATAAAAGGATGGCATTTGAAAAAAAAAATTTTAAAAAGAGAATTAAGGAATTTTATGAGTAACAAAGATATATTTTTATTCATTTCTGATGTAATATCTTATATAATATTTTTTATAATGGATACTTATATACTTAAATTATACTTAAAATAGTAGTATAGGAATAATGCTTTCTTCTGCAGTTTAATGATTTAAAAAAAACATATTTTTGAGGACCTTTAGGATTCAAAACAGTAACATTCTTTTATGTTTGAAATTGATGTTTAATTGATTGATATTTATAAATATTCAACTTTTTAACTACAAAATTTATTTGCCATTAATGCTTTTCCCGCAGCTGTATGCTTTAAAAAAAAGCAATAAGGAACGAGTTCCCTGAACTCTTATTTCTTGACAATATTTTGTTGACTCTTGTCTTTATGATGTTGCCGCCGGTCACAATTGTCTGGCACAATGATGCCCCAGCAATTTGCAAAAACAAAACCCAAAGAAAAAAAAAAACAGAAGCCACATAATATGACAAAGAAAAAGAGAAAATCAAATTTCCCTTCCGTTCTCTGATGGCGTGTGAAAGTCATTGCCATAAGCAGATTCCTTTGTTTCTCCTTAGTTTTTGGGTTTCATGCTTATTTTTGTGCTTTTTTCCTGCTTTGACAGCTGACAACAGTGCGTGTGTTTTTTGTGGCGTGTCATGTTCAACAATTATTGGCTAATTTGTAGGCACGCAGCGGGAAATCTCATCAAAGTTGCTTGATTGACTTGACCTCCAAGCAGTCCTAAGCGGGGGGGAACCGATCAACAGGTGTCTCTGCTCAATAAAAACGTGTCGCAAATTGTTCCCCAAATAGATAAACTCTCAACCTTAAATCGACACAATGCTTTACAGGAACTTTCTCTAGGAAGACCAACACAATGCTTCCTTATAGGCAGGCAGGCCTACTTAAAGGGCCGCACGCGCCGCATAAAATTTGCCACTGGGGCAATTCGTTGAGGCTTAGTATTTGTTACGCACATTTCGGTCTTTTGTTACAGACATTTCCCTGCCATCGCTTAAGGGACGACTTGGCCAGATAACTACACTGAAAGAAAAATAGTTGTAATGTGAAATGAATTTTGAATCATCTAAAAAAATGAGTAAGCTGAAGACTATATATTCTTTTGTTCCTTGATTTAAAATATATGTAGAAACTACATGGTATTTATTTTCTCTCTGTGGTCCCAGCACTCTCCTTGACTCGGATCAGCCTTAGAGGCTTTAACTATCCGATGACGGCTAAAGCATAAATAATGAAATGTAATTTCAGCTCATATTGCCGCATTGACATCGACCTGAAAGGACGCCGAGCCTCTGGGAGGGTAAGGTCAGGGAGTTTCGAAATCTTCTTAACCGCCCACAAGTATTTTAACTGCTCAGGGTAGTGGGTGCGAGGTGTGAGCTGTGAGGGTTACCTACCAAGGTATGGGGGGGAAAGACAGGTCGGTAAAATGCCGTCAAGGGCCGCAAACATTTCATCATCATCGTCGCGAACGCTTTTACCAAATGTAATTACACTCAAGAGGTACACGTGCCGTCAACAGCCTCGGCCTCGGCTGATTTTCGGGCGTTTTTCAATTTGAATTTGACTGCCGCCAGGCGGGGCTCATCTCCTGACAGGCACCAGCCAACACAGCCGCCACTTGAGCAATTTTGTTAGCCCGCCAAAATGCTTACCCATCAATATTCCATCCCATCCCAGTCCCCGAGACCCCCAACGAAAAAATTCACTTTAAGTTTGTTTACCTTTCGTCTGATGGTCGTTAGCCAGGATTTGCAACGACACGCTAAATGAGCCCGAATCGAGGAGAGTTGAGCGGATGCGTCATATTAAATTCTGTTTTCGGAGCCAAGACCCACGCTTAGTGTTTTTTCGACAAAATGTCAACTCCCAGATTGGCCGCGGGAACTTTGGACTTTCAGAGGCCAGCGAGACATTGATTGCCTGCCCGGAGTGGAGTGATTAATGTAGTTATAATGGCAAACTGGATTAGTTGGGTCGATCTTGGGGAAAGTGGTTATGCGGTGGCATAACGGAGATTTCTCAAACTTTAATGAGTTCTTAAGACTTGAATTAAACAAACAAACCTTAAAGCCAATTAGGCCACTTACTTGTGAATTTTTGGACTCTTAACTATACTACATAAATATAAATAAACCATTATCAGTATGATTCGAAAACAGGGAGACTTTGTGGTTTCATTGTGGATTTAAATAGAGACTTTGAACAATACTTGTTCAAATTTCCGAGAATACACAATGCGATACCATGGAGCTTCCGTTCTGCGGTTTTATAAAATCATTGAAGTACACAGAATTTACGAATCCGTCATATCCTGCCCTTGATTAATTCCCAAGAAAAGATTTTTTTTTATTTTGTTGTTCTTAAGGTATATCTGCAGAAGCCCGAGAACAGAAAGAAAGTTAAACGAACTCGTCTGCGATTGTTTCTTTAATTTGTTTTGAAATTTTATTCGATTTTGTTTATTGTCCGGCGCGTGCAACTCGGTGGGTTATTTAATGCCCAAACCGTTGAATCGATTAATCAATTTGGCGGCTAATTAATTCAGTGTTTTTATTTACATTTGCATTGCAGTGTTTGCCCACACGCTGCCAGAGGAGAACAACACTAATAATATGGCACCCACCATATGCTCGCATAAGAAACAGATGCGGGACTCGAGGCGACATCATGGCGTGGCCACAGCCGCCATTTCATCCGCCACCGCAGCCATCACAGCCGCCACCACATCCTCGTCAACCTCGACATCATCCTCATCCTATTCTGCATCGGTGGATGCCGCAGGAGCAACACGTAACAGTTCGGTACTCAGTTATGGTGAGTTGTTTTACAACTTTAAGGTTATGGGGCGAGTCCTTTTAATGGTTCAGATGCATTATCTAGTTATATTAAACTTAAGACCTTGATAAATATCTTAGAGAGAAGATCTTGAGAATATTTTACGACAAAACAATAATCAAGATCACTTAAAACACTCTCCCAGTGTATTTTGATCGCCAACTGTCAACTGTGGGCGCTCGAGGCGTATACGTAACATTGCCATTTATATATTTTTACAAAACTTGCATTGTCTGTATGAGAATCCCCCGCTGACTGACTTGCTGCTGCTGTTCCTCCGACCAGTTTCTTGGCTCACGTTACTCGGTCATGATTAATTAATTTATGTAAACTCAACCCACCCACTGGCGCCCATCGGATCTGAGATGCAAGCTCTTAGTGTGTGTTCTCGTTTGGCCATTTCCTCATTGAAAAACTATACACATGCACGTGCCCCGAGGGCTGGGCTAAGCGTTGAATGCTTCACGTGTTGCCCTCCATGTTTTATGGCAAGTGCTGTTGTTGCTGCCACGACCCGTTCGTTGCAGGTTGTTCTGGCACGCGAGCTCAGGGTTATGCCACAACAATTTGCGTCAGCAATCGAGACTCCCAGATGCTTCTTCCGTCTGTGTGGCCATTGTTGGGTAAGACAGCATCGAAACGGAAATCTGCAGAAGGTTAGATAAACTTTATATAAACATTGTACGGCTGCATTAGTATTTTTAAAGATGAAATTCTTACCAATTCTCAGAGACCCTCTTACCACGAATATCAAGCCCAATTATGCTCAATGAATACTCATTAGCCAAGTGAAAATGTTGAGACGTTTACCTAGATTTTTTCCAAGAAATTGTTTCGCAAAACAAAGGGGGTAATGGGTGGGGCAGGCACATACATATATGGGGTAGGGTATGTGTCATAACCTCCACACCGTTTGTATTTCTGCTGCTGTGTGCCACTTTTGCTGGCTCTTTATTTACATGTTTTGCACATTTGCTCCGCTTGCTTTTAGCCAACTTTGCTCATTTTGTTGTTACTGGTGCTGTTGCCGTTGCTGTTGCTGTTGCTGACTTTATTGGAGCCATATTGAATGTGAATTCATTGAAAGCCTTGCTGTTGTTGTTGGCATTGTTGCTTTTTATTTGTGCTCGTTGTAGCCTGCTAATTTCCAGCCACACATAAAAATAAACATCAAGCGAAATTTACACACACAAGCTGATGAAATAAAAAATGGGTGTGGCGGTGCCACGTGCAGGCCTCCCGACATCTTGGCCCTGCCCTTCTACCTTACTTTCCTCCCTTGGGGGGCGGCTGTCGAAATAGGCGTGGCGTGGCCCCGTGGGGCTGCCATTGCCCCTGACAATGCCCTCGTTCGGCGCCTTGAATTTAGGTATTTAAAATTATATTTTCAAGCATAACCGCCGAGCTGATTCACCGAGAACGGAACAAGGCACGTGCAATCGCCTCTTACTCACTTACTCACCCACTTGCTCGATGATGACGAGGCAGGCCGTCAAATGAACCCAAAAATCCTACTCGAAATTGGGAAATTTATAGGAAGGAGGTGCGACTTTTTAAAGGTAAAGTCTTAAAGTATTGTGGAACGGTTTTATACTGTTGTCTATATCTTTGGTAAGAACTGATCAACTTTTTAAATATTAGAATGTCATACATCATAAATCCAAAACCAAAGTAGGTATACTAAACATTTCCCTTGTTCCGAAATCAAACAAATTCCACAGTATCTGAAAATATAGAAAATACACAGAGTTTAATAGTTTTACAAGGAGGAATAGTACCTCAAAATGATGCAACCACATAAGGTTCCCCACGATTTGGAAACTGTCCACAGCGTCCATTCTTTGCCAGAATGCGCCAAGCTGCCTCTGGACCGCATCGATATCATAAGTCGCACTATTAAGGGTCCCCCCTTGGAGATCTTCGACTATGACGAGCCCGTCAGCTTCTCCACATTGGGGGAGGAGGAGGAACTGGGCCTGAGTTACCTTGATTCGGATACCGCATCAGACGATAAGACTCAAGGCCTTCTGATGGTTCACGATATTGACTGTCTGATCCGCCAGATAGAACACATGCAGTTGGCCATCAAAAAACGGCAGATGGAGGCGAGCACTGGCGGAACTGAGAGCGAGGAGGCTAAGTCGGAGAATGAGCCCGAGGAGATCCTCAACAAATTGCAGCGCAAGTGCAGGAAGATGGAGGAGAAACGACAGGATATGGAAAGTACCCCTGTCCAATCCAAGGAGTCAAAGGTCAAGCAGCTGAGCTGTGATGAGCAAATAGAAGCACGCAATTTGCGGCACGCCCACCACCGTCTCCAGTGTGAAATAGACGAGATTATATGCCAGTACCGGAAACTTCGCGAAGTCCTCACCCAGATGCGTGGACATCTCTGCACCATGGAGCACACTTTGCGGAAGCTGACCAACAAATCCGACGAGCTCCTGGAGTGGACTACGCAAGTATCCGCGGAGCTGCATGTGTGCAAGGAGCGGTACACCCACCTCCTCAGTGCCAAGATCTCGAAGCGGGAATCTGACGCCACGGGCCACAGGCACGCCATTCGCTTCGCGAAACGCAATGACGCCTATTTGAGCAAAAATCGGATGAAGCGCGAACTGACGGAATTTAAGGAGGAAGTCAACGAGTTGGTGGGCTTTATGGGTGACCTGCACAAGGAGCTGGAGCGGAATCTGTCCATGTTTGGCCACAAACGAAAGATATCCGTCCATGACAACTCTACCCACTTCCTTATGACCATAGCCGTGGCCGCAGGACTGGCAGAAATGATAAATATTTCAACGGGTCGTCATGATGAGTCTGATTCTAATATAATATGAAGTATTCTGTGTTGTGTTGTACTAGAAACCGAAATTTGAATATTTAATCTACTTCTTAGGGGAATTCCGTATCGGGCTTCGTCATAACAGTGGGAAGTGACGTCGTCGCCGTCATGTTCCACTTTTCCTTTTCTCGCCCTTAGATGAGGGAGGAGGCTAAGTGATTCCTCCCAGACCCACTCTCACGTTTCGCTGCACTTGGCCGATTGTGCAGTAAATTCTATATTTGCCAATCACAAACACACGGCGTACACTGGTCGGGTGCATCGGGTTGATTTCATTTTCCGGAGTCCGGACTGCCGACCGAGTGCTGGGCCATGTGCTCTGTTAACTGAGAGCTAGTACGTCACGACCCTGACCACAGACATGGCCGAGAAAGCGACGACTGTGAAAATTATTTGTAAATGAAACATATAGAGATTTAAGAAATATTTATTAGAAGCTTATACAAACCGAACAATCAAATATTTAATAAAGATTATAGATAAGGTCAAATTATTTTAAAATATTTTAAATAAATATATATTTTTTTAGGTGTACTGGGGACGGGGGGACTCATTGTCATGACTATCAACAGCTGATGGTTGCAAATGAGCGTTACAAAACCTTTGCGACTGCGAATTGATGCGAAACGCGTCGTCAACGCCGGAACAATTGGCCCCGGTGCTGGTCACGTTTTTGGCCCACACGCGATTCCCACATACAAAATAAAAATAATAAAATAAGCAAAAAAATAAGCTCACTCGCCACGGCAGAAATCAACATGGTCATAGATTGGGAGAGCGGTTGACAACCCAACTGATTGGCTTTCAAAAATACAAAACAGAATTAAAATGCTGACACACAACTTTTACTTTACAACCTCAACCAAAATACAACCTCAATTACTTTATATATAGATTTTTTAAACAAATTATTAATTAACCTTTATTTCTTATCTTGCAGTTGCCAAGGGATCGGTCATCTCCCCGAATCGTCGCCGCCACCCGAGACTGCAACGAAGATATTCCCACTTACCCAGCAGCAAGGTGACCTCCTCGACGGACACCAGCAGTGGAGTGGAAACTGAGGCCGAGTCTGTAGAGCAGATACAGCTCGAGGACGATCGCTACCAGGATGAGCGAAGCCAGTACCTGCAACAGCAGCAGCAACATTCCAGCACCGACAACAACATCAAGACAGTATTACAGCCAACAACGGCCAAAAACGGCAATAACCGGAACAGCAATCATAAGCGATCCTATGAGGATGAACCTGTGTCAGCGGAGGCGGTGGCCAGTGACAGCGACAGTGATAGCGGCTTTGAGTTTGGCGACCAGGATATGGGCAAAAAACAGTGCCACATCCAGCACAACACCGACGGACTGCTCTCGATTGCCATCAAGACTATTAACTTGGTGCAACGCAACAAGCTGCTGCAGAAGCGACTGGCCCAGCTGCAGCTGGAGACCTCGGAGTTTATAGCCTCGGTGATGGCCAATCCAGAGAACAGACAATTTCGCGAGCAGATCGCCCCCAAGACCGAGTCCAAGGTGAGCAACATGCTGTTGCGCCACTAGGTTCTGTTTTGATTCAAAGAAAAACTAAAAAAAGCCCCATTTTCTGGACGATGGAAAGTTTTATGATTTAGATAACCCACTAGGGGAGGCAATCAATCGAAAAGTAACATTCAATTTATATTTATTATATTTTATTTATTAAAACTTATGCAGTCCAAACTATGGAAGGGAAAATACTGGGCAACATGTTGCTGCAACATTGCGGACAAGCCCAGCATGTTGCCTACTTCTAGGGTGTTTTTTTGTTTAATTTAAATTAAAAGTAATAGATTTTTGCTGAATTTATTGTATTTCCAAATTGACTTAACAATCAAAAAACAACAAACTTTGAAATGTACTTTCTACACGTCCAGAAGGTAGATTTATTGAGGGGCTAAGTTTTGAGAAATTCGTACTGATTAACTTTATAAATACATCAAAGCTTAACAATTTAAATATACAACATAAAAAAGCTACGCTAACATTTACACACAAAAAAATAATTTATAAAAATCCCAAAAAAGTCCAAAAGTGTATCTTTATCTCTAGTAGTTAAGTCATTTTTTATGTTTAACAGTTTATACGGTCAAGAATTAATTTATAATAAATTAAACAACCACATAAATAGGAATATTAATATATTTAGAACAAACCAGGCATAATCAATGAAACCCCACGACGCTTTTCGCTTATACAACAAATAGATCTAGTAAGATTTGATTGACATTCAAAGCAATTTTTTGAATACAAAAACCCATTATACGTAATTGACACTGATCGGTATTAATGATTTCCGATTAATTTCAAGAAATTATCCAACAGAATGAAAACTATCAAAATGCTTTAAAACAAAATCAGAAAAGTTAAGAAGGCAAAACCAAATTAATAGCTACCGAGAAGCAAATCTTTCCAATTCTAAAAGTTTTATTCAAACTAAGATATCTGACATTTTCCACATTGTTTAAAGGAAAAACTAAGAATCATAAAACTCGCAAAAAATGATTTCATGAATAAAATTAGTGAAAATATAATTATAGAATCTGCTTTTTTTAATGGGCTGTTGTTGAAGAAATTAATAGGTCAAGTTGGCCCTACTAAAAGGTAAGATTTGTAATACATAACTACTAAAATTTAATTTTATTAGTTATCCATATGATTTAATTCAATAACTGATCCATAATTCGTGTTGTTTTCTTGCAACATTGATTCATTAGTCGTTGTTTTATTGGGTATATTATGTACTCGAGTCACGTCCTCATCTGTTTGAGAGGCACGTGATTTATGAGCCACCAGTCAGTCATATACTCATTGTACTTGACACTGAAGAGGTTTTATTACCCATCCGGCCGAGATCCCACAGACATAACCAGAAACTGTGATGGCCTGAACTTGATTTGTGCTACAATTGAGCCCGTGATTTGTATTTTTTTGTATTTGATTTTTTATGTCAATAATAATAATAAATTGTATTAATATGGCCATAGCTCTGCCAATTCGTAACCGATCTGGAAACAAAGTACCATTTTGTAATCAGCGAACCCTGAAGGGACTTTCCTCATTCAAAACATTGCTTAAATACCGTTTTTATTTTTTGTAGAATTTTTTTCATGGATACCCCTGTAAAATTGTGGGTTTTTCCAATTTCCCCAATTTTGGTCCATCCGATGGACATAGCTCTGCCAATTTGTATCCGATCTGGAAACAAAGTACCATTTTGTAATCAGCGAACCCTAAAGGGACTTTCCGTATTCAAAACATTGCTTAAATACCGTTTTTAATTTTTTCAAATTTTTCCCATGGGTACCCCCATAAAATTTTGGGTTTTTCCAATTTCCCCACTTTAGCTCCTTCCGATGGCCATAGCTCTGTCAATTTGTATCCGATCTCTAAACAAAGTACTTTTTTGTAATCAGCAAACCCTGAAGGGACTTTCCTCCTTCAAAACATTGCTAATAAAAAAATCATTTATAATTTTTTTGAATATTTTCTATGGGTACCCCCATAAAATTGTGCGTTTTTCTAATATCCATGTATTAACTATTTTATTGCTTGTTCCCTAGAATAATAGATATAATTACAATTTTTCGATTCTTCCGCACTTTTCCCACTTTTGATCAGAAAAAATAAAAAATGATAGATCATAATGGAATTTTATAATATTAAAACGACTTTATTTACAATTCAAATAAATAACTTCAAACTTAAAGATTAGCTTTTTTTATTTACAAATCCATTTTTTTAAAATTGTGTTTTTATCCAAAAACACTTCATGCAAACTCAAAATTGAGCTTCCAAAAACAGTACTGTATTTTTCCAAACTTTTCCATTATTAACCTTTTACTATCTTCGTCTATGTACACTTCGATCTCTTCGTTATCGCAAAGGACCGAAACGGCTTTCCGACTATAATCGTTCAAGCTAGGATCTAAAATTTTTCGACCAACAACGGTCCATTTGTTAGTAACTAGTCCGGAATTTTGCGTTTCCAGCAGCTCAAATATAGAGCTTAGAGGCTTTCCCGCTACTATCAAGGGAAGAACGAAATGCGTTCGTATTAGTCCAAAGAATTTGATGAACGAATGGCAGGAGTGGGACGGAGAAACACCAGCTACTGCACCTATCACCCATTTTACGGTGGAGTCGTCTTCGCAAACGATCAAAAGATTCGAACAGAATTTGGCCATTGGCGGACAGTCGGAAAAGTTTAGGGCTTCTGAAGAACCCTTTCGGAATACATCAAAGAAGTGCTCCATTATAGCATTGAGATCTACATCTGCATCTTGGTTTTTGTTGCTAATAACAAGACCATAACGTCTCTTTTCCGGAAGAGTCGTGGCATATGGAGGTTGGCCATCCAGATGATGATCACACTTGGGCCGATTGCAGTTGTACAGCTTCCTGTCTTCATCCTTAAAGTCTTTATTATTATCTTTCTTTTTCTCGTCTTCGGACTCCGGTTCGCTCCCATAGTCCGGTTTACATGATCGCGCCATACCCACAGCTTTTGATACTAATATTCCCGACACACTTTTGGGTGTGATTTTAGTCGAGCTGATGGTCCTGCTTGGCAAACTGGGTGTCTCAATAGTCGGGGGTATCGGTAAGGACCTGCTTAAAAAGGTTTAGTTAGATGCATTGACAGATATCTAAAATGTAATACCTCTTTGCTGGAGGTTCCTTTTCCTCAGAGGACCTTGTTCTTTTAATGGTAGTACTACCGTCTGAGCTACTTGAATCATAGCTGCTTTCTGAGTGATCTGAAGACGACGAGTCCTGTGAATCTGACAATTCACAATATTGTGGAGGTCGTTCCACGGGCATTAGTTTAGTTTCCCGAGGCTGGGAGAAGAAGTTTTTCTGGGTTCCGGCTTCAGTTCTACTGTAGAACTGTAAGAAACAAACAAATTCGCCCTGTTTAAATAGCGAAATCGCCGTCCCATTCTTTGCGGGATCCTCATCGTCCTCCTGATCCAGAAGCAATGTGGAGAGCTTCTCGCCATTTTGCATCCACCTTGATAAACTTCTGATCTCCTGCTGGTCAATAGCAATGCTTACAATACGTTCCATCTTTGCTTTTAAATCTAAAACTGTGGCAGAATCTACTAATTCGAAGATGTGTGGCTGCTGGGTGAAAATTTTAGGAATAAATTGTTAAATATTGGCGCCTTGAAATTTTTTTAACCACATAAAGTGCTTTATATACCATAAGTATTTAGTATGGATCTTACCTTTCCATCGACCTCGCTTTCGAGTTTTATTTTTACAAACATTTTTTATTTTTAGCTTAATTACCTATTTATGCCTGTATTTACTTTTTTAAAACCAACTTTAAATAACAGTAAATCAAAATAAATTTACTAGATATGTGCGATAAAAAGAAATATCGATTATTTAATAAATCGATTAATTCTCCCCAATTTAAGGTAACCCTATGTACCGGGACCCGGCGTTTGTTTACGAACAGAGGACTAAAAAGAAAAAGAGAACCATATTTCTTTAATGTTAAACGTTTTTATTTCACTCAATAATAAACAAGTCTAAAATGGGAACTCCTGGCAGAGTTCTCGTAATCGACAATGGATCATATGAGTGTCGTGTGGGCTGGGCAAATGCACGGGAGCCGGAGCTTCGTTTCCGTAATGTTTTGACAAAACCACGAAAGGATCGAAAGAAGGAATCTGGCCAGCAAGGGTCCACCGAAGCCGCATCAGGCTCTGGTGAAGCACCCGCTGAGATTCAAGTGGGCAACGATATAACCAACATTGAAGCCGTACGCGCCCACTTGAAGTCTCCGTTTGAGCGAAATGTAATTACGAACTGGAATCACCAGGAACAGATATTTGACTATATTTTCACCAAGATGGGCTTCGAGGGACAGGATAGCATTCATAACCCCATTCTACTAACGGAGGCTCTGGCTAATCCCAACTATTGCCGCCAGAATATGAACGAACTGCTCTTCGAATGCTACGGCATTCCAGCGGTCAGCTACGGAATCGATGCCCTGTACAGCTGGGAGCATTACCAACAAAAGCGAAAGAAGGTGAACAGATTCCAAAGGTTCCTGATGCTCAAGATTTAAGTATTATTCTTTTAGGTAGCTGACGCCTTGATAATTTCCTTTGGATACAGCACGACACACGTCATTCCCGTCCTAAATGGCAAAATACAGCTGGAGCACGTGCGTCGTCTCAATGTCGGTGGCTATCACATTATTACCTACCTCTTCCGCCTCATGCAAATGAAATATCCCGTCCATCTAAACGCTATCACCATAAGTCGAATGGAGAAACTTGTCCACGAAAATTGCCACATAGCTGTTGATTACAAGGAGGAGCTGGTTCAATGGGCTAACATGGACTACTATGATGAACATATCATGAAAATCCAACTACCATATAACCAGGTTACAGCAACCAATGCGCTTTTGACTGCCGAGCAGAAGCAGGAAAAGCGCCGGGAACTAGCGCTGCGTCTTCTGGAAATCAAGAACCGCCGGGAGCGAGAGAAGCTTCGCGAAGATGAGCAGCAGTTGTTCGTGTACAACAAACTAAGGCAGCTACATGAACAGAAAAAGATCCAGAAATTTGAGCGGGCTCTAGAACAGCAACAAATTGGCAGCTTGGAGGATCTGGATTCACTAATAGAAACTATTAAATCCCGAATTAAAAAAGCCCAAGATAGAGCCAAGGCTGCACCGCGACCTAGTAAACAGCAAGAAAAGCTGGACAAGATGCCGAAGCCACCAGAGGGCGTCTCTCAGGCAGATTGGCTAGCCGAACTTCACGGCAAGCGCGAAGAAATTTTGCAACGGAAGCAGGCGCGCCATCAACAGAAATCTGAACAAGCCAAGCGACACACCCATGCCGCCCAGGAAAGAATGCGCATCATCTCCACTTTGGCGCGGAGTGAAAAACGGCGGAAGGCCAATGGTGATGAGGAGGACGACGGCTTTGGAATGAACGACAACGACTGGGATGTGTACAAGAGGATCAATCGCTACAATGATGATAGTGACTCTGATGCGGATAATGAAAAGTTGCTGGAGTGTGAAAAAATCTTGAGTCACTACGACGCCAATTTCGATGATGGAAACGCCAATCAACAAGCCCAAAGTGCTGCCGAGAACTACCAACTGCACTTCGGAATAGAGGAAATACGCGTACCGGAGATTCTCTTTCAACCAAGCATGATTGGCAGCTCGGAGGCGGGACTCGCCGAACTGATTGCCTTTGTGCTGAAGCTTTTCCCTGCCAACGAGCAACAGCGTCTGGTGAATCATGTCTACCTGACCGGAGGATGTGCTCAGTTTAAGGGCCTCAAAGAACGACTGGCTAAGGAGCTGCTGGAGATGCGACCATTTCAGTCAACTTTTGCAATCTACGAGGCTGATGAACACTCTCTAAGTGCTTGGCTGGGAGCTTGTGCCCAAGCGCGGAAATCCAACTTTAGCCAGACCCTAACAACTCGCAAGGATTACCAGGAGCACGGTAGCGAGTATTTCAAGGAGCACAAAGCTAGTAATATTTTTTATCCTGCGCCAAAGGAGTAACTACTGAACCATATTAAATAAATTAGAAAGGATTGAAAGTCTTACAATTTCGTAATCCTACACCAAAAGTTTCAGATTTTATTTTATAACCTTCCGAAAATTTGTATTACACGCTTAAAATAGAAGTTCTGTAACATCGTTGCCAAAGAGCAAGTTCCACGACTTGGGCACTGTAAGCTTAAAGCTTCCATCGCCACTGCTACGAAGCTGGAGGAAATCTTCGCAAAGTTCGTTTAGTTCCTTAACTATCAGGGAAGCGTCTGTGGAATTGTCACCCTCCAAAAGGTAACGGAAAAGCAGCATCACAGGAACCTGCTGCTCGTCGAATGCCTTGAACAGTTGCAGGGCATTGCCACCGCCGTAGATGGCTTCGCCGGTGTGCTCCTTCCATTTTATCAACTCCGAGTTTCCGAGCTGGGCGGCGTGAGCCTCCTTAAAGGAAGTGCTGGCACGGTAGGCCCATGGGGACTCCTCAATTACGCGTCGTTCGAAGCCGAAGCTGCCGCTAAGGATAACCACACGACGAGCAGATTTCAGTAGATCCACTAGCTGACTCTGGAAGCTGGACGTGTGGCGGGCAATCCAAGGAGCACGGAATTGTACTACCAGGAGCTTATCCTCCGATCCCTCGTACAGCTCACAGGAAGATACCTTTTCGTTGGGCTCATGCTGGTAGGCAGAGGGTCCGAAAACCGGAATCAGAGCTGGATGAGACAGTGATCCAATACGGCTGAGCTGTTTGGAGGCAATCAACAGGTCACAAGCCAACTGTGCCGCATTGCCAACACAAATGCTGGGAATGATGACCGTGTAGTCGGACACGTCCAGAGATGTACTTTTATTTTTCAGAAACAGCATATTTCTGAGAGATCGGAATTTTTGAATCCGAAATGAACAGTCAAAAATATGAAAGTAATGTTTCAGGGTTGTGAAGTTGTGCGTTCGATTTCGATAAATGTAAGGTGACTACCCTTGACAAGACTTAAATGTAAGATAATTATATATTTTTCATTTTTCTGCCTTCTTTTAAGTCTTATATACTTAACTAGTTTTTAATAATAATAAAAATATTAGTTTTTTCATATTTTATATATAAAACTTTGACAATCGAATTTCAAATACTGTTTTATCGTTATCGACTTAAGACATTTTGCAACACTACCTCTGTTTGCGTTTTTGCAAATGTTTTCCGGCGGAAAACCAAACGAAAATGTCCACCAATTCCGTAAATATATCTGTGGAAACCACCTGTGAGAATCAGATTCGTGAGATAGGCTACGATGGCACGGAGCTATACCAACCGTAAGTACTTCAATGTATACAAACACCTTTTTATCAACAAGTTGTTTGGGCGTTCCGGCGTTTTGTTTTAGGCCGCCCACTTTGTCGGAGAGTTTAGCAAAGTGTGCAGCTCGCATAGACTTCAGTAAGACGTCGCTGGACGACCTAAAGAAGGAGGAGAAATCAGCAGCAGCGGCCGTAGAAGATGAAAAAGATGCTACTCAGTTTCAAGAGAGCCTCTGGCCTTGGGACGCTGTTCGCAACAAACTTAAGGATGCCCTTACAGAGATCTGTGTGCTCTCGGACGTCATATCTATTGCCAAGGACAAAAGGTATCTAGTGCTAGATCCCCTTTTGGAAGAGGGAGACGATACCAAGCCTATAGTTCAAGTCTACAGCCGCAAGAAGGCCATATCCCAGGCAGCACAGGTGCTTCTTGGAGGAGCTGAACGTCTGCGAAATGCCCACAGCGAGCAGCGTAGCCGAAATGTCTCAGATTTCCACATAGAATTGCTACGTTTGCGTCAGAACTGGCGCCTGAAAAAGGTGTCCAACGCTATAATTGGGGATCTGAGTTACCGGACGGCTGGCTCAAAATTCGGCATGAGTGGTACTTTTGAAGTGACCAAGGCAGAGGAGACTTCCGACGATGACACCCCCAGCAGCTCCAACTCATCCGGTGCCGCTGCTAACAATGGAATGCCTATTAAGGCCAGTTCTGCCTTACGCGTCATTGTTCCAGCTGAACTACAGGGCGTTGCTTACATAAAAGTAATCACACAGAAAGATCAAGAGGATCTATGCACTGCCCAGGTGAACCTCATGGGTCACGGACCGAATATACCGGCGCAGGTGGGTGTTTGGCAAAAGACCCTGGAGTTTGCTCAAAACGTTCTGTTCTGCAAAGAACTCTTTGCCCAACTGGCGCGCGAGGCTATCCAACTGCAGGCCCCCATTCCGCATGTGGTGATTGGAAACCAGATCAGGGCCACCTTACTGCCCAATATACAATTAATAATATCGCTCTGCCACTCGACCACCTTCGACTCAAGCCAACCAGCACCGATTAACGATCATGACCACGTTTTGGAGCACTCGTTGCACCAACTTTTGCGTGACGTTCACTATAAAAACTCTCACCATCCTTTCCCGCATCCGGCAAGTGCCCCTCTCGGTCCATCAAAGAAGCGTATGCTGGCGGGTCCGACAGCTGCTGATCGGGAAACGCTGCTAGAGATGACCAAGACACAAACTATATTGGAGCAAATCATTGCCCAGGCGCAGCATATTTTTATGCGAAAAAGAACACAGTACGTGCTGGACACACTAGCTAGAGACGTAAAGGATCCACAAATTGTTTCGCACTGGAACGCCATGAACAGTCCCACAATGTCGTGTGTTAAGATCAACATTGTAACGCACGGATACGATGCTATCGGTCGTACCTCACTGGTGATCCATGTCAAGGAGCGATCGCTTAAATGCATCTGTCGGGATGGACGCGTCATGAAACTATCATACGAGCCACAAGAACTGCGTGATCTCATTCTCTGCCAGATCAACTCCCACCAGATCTCCTGCCTCATAAGCCTGGCACGGTGTATGGCTTGGACGGTGCTGTCCAACAGCAATCACTTGGGCATTGGCAAGGTGGAACCGCTTGGAAACGCCAGTTCCTGCCTGTTGGCCTCTCCAAATAGTGATCGCATGATTGCCGTTCAGATACGCTGCGATCCACAGATCGACGTTAAAGTATATATTGCGAAAAGTCCCCGGCAAGACTTCTTTCCCAGCCCTCTGGTCCCGGAGAAAATTTGGGAAAATCTCGGAGGAAATTTCAAGGAGGTAAGACCTTTTTCTTTTTGAAAAATTTAAATCATAACTGAAATCTTTTTCCAGGTGCGGTTCGACAAGATAGAGGGCAAGAGTTTCCTCAACAAAATGGAGTTTTTGATGGCGTCACTGACCAGCAGTTCGGCCTGAAGATTTTCTTCTTTCATCATCCAATAGATTATAAATCATTTAAGCGTTCTAGTTTAATTATTTAATACAAAGAGTCGTAATTAGTTATACTTATAAATTGTTTTGATACACATTTCCTTCGATAGAAATTTATTTGGACAATGAGAAGTTGTTTTTCGGGATTCAGTGCATCAAACTGTAGCTCACATTGTTTTTCCATAGCCTGGGCTGGTAGTTTAAGGGTTCCGGCGACATATTCCTCTGCTGCATTACCGTAAAGGTATCCTCCAGGCTAACCACATTCGCTCGTTTGGTGCTCTGCATGAAACGGATCAGGAACTAATTTCTTCATCCATTCAATGTCTAAACTCACCCATCGTTCCAAGTCACAGAAGCTAATATTGTAGTTCTGACTACGTGGCTGCAGGGACATCACCTCTGAGTGTTCCGCGGGCGGTGGAGCGAGGCGCAGATATAGACCGCGATTGGTGGAAAAGAGGACGGGCACTCGCTTGGCCGGCGCAGAGCCAGCTCCTGTTCCTGCGCCTAGAACCTGTCGATAGATCGGACAGTGGCTTACCGTGGCAATGGGTATGTCCTGGGGCTGCCCATCGCCGGAAAGGCCACCCACCGTACGCATAATGCCCATGCAAGCGTGAAAACAGGACGCCACTTTGCCGCATTTATGTACTCGATCAAGAACTCTACTCGATTTCCTGATCTCTGCCGCAAGCCACGAATGTATACCAATGGATGTGCATCTTCCTGTGCCAGTATTGATTTTGTGCACCGCTGGCCACGACGCTGGTCAGTATCCGTTTGTCCAGCGTGTAATTAACCCCTCAATTTGTATGGCCACATCGAGCGACCGGTTGCCCAGACGACCGTCCGTTCATATGTCCATTCATTAGCCATGTGCGTGTGCCGGGCCAATTGTCTCTCGGCCAGAAGTATATAGAATCAAACCGAGATAGCCGGCCTCACACGCGCTGCCTGCCAAATTGTTCAATTAATGTCAGCGGTAAAAACAGAACAGAATCTTTTGGATGTATAAAATGGGAGATTCTCTATAGCGACAGACACAGATTTCTGAGGTTAATCCTTTCAGATACCAAGGGGAAGAGTACCTTACCCTAGTTCCGTAAATAAAAAAGCAACTACATTTTCTTTTCTTTTTTTTACTTTTTACAAATATTGTTTTAAAACTTTATTTCATTTTATATTATATTGGTTTTTTTTCCTTTTGTGTACTTGTAAATTGTATAATTAACACTAAAATACTTATTTAAACATATTTCCATATTCAATCGGTTTTTTATTCATTCATTTTTTTTTTTTCAAAAGTTTACGAGTTAGTTTTTCGATTTTTTTGTTTTGTTTTGTTATTTGTTTGGGCGATTCATACTTTTGTTTACTTAATTCCATTATACATAGATTTTGTTGTGGTTTATATAGATCCAGCAATTGAAACGCTCAAACCGTAAGCGTTAGTAAATAAATTTAACTTAGTCGCTATTTAAGTGTTTCGCTTCCATACTATAATTTAGTTTTTAATTCATGCAGCCCATATCTATCCACTCTCCGCGTACATATATTTTAAATTCCGACACATTAAACATATACAATATTTAAAATAGATTTCTTCCATTTGTATCGTTTTTTGTGTTTAATTATTTTATCAATTGTGTGTATGGATGTGTGTTGTTTATATATTTAAGAAATTTTATTCATTTCTTTATTTATATTCCTTTTGATTTGTTTATGTTGCTGGGCTTATAAATTAGCTTCGAATCTAATGCTAATATACGTCTCGGGCTGTATCTCGTTTCGGGGATAAAGGATGAAAGCACGGACATATACAATGTAAATATTTATATTAAATATTCTATTTCTATGCACTTTATAGACTTTTGTTTGTACAGCATTTTATCATGTTTTTTAACTGTGATATTTTGAAGTAAACGTTTTAATTAGGTTATGTTTCTACAATTTTTTGCTTTTGCTGCCATTATGAAATATTCAATATATATATATATTCTTTATATGCATATTAAACAGCTAAATCTTATAGTTATGCGCGTAGCTATTTTGCAATAAATTAGTGCATACAATAGGCTACAATCTGTATCTGATTTTGTTCTATATATAATGTATACATATAGCATTCTATGCACACAATGCTTTTGGGAAATTGAAACGAGCTGACACACACTCTACACAAAAATAAAGAAAATCGTACAGATAGAATATTGCTCGCCATTGGAAGGAACTTAAACAACGATCTTCATTTAGTTTCTCAGTTTGGTTAATTAATAATAAATACAAACGCATACGACATTAAAAGTTGAATTAAAGACCCGAAATAATACAACAAATACTCTTTAAACTTTAAACAAACAAACACAGTCACAGGGCCAAAAGACAGAATAAAAGCATAAAAAATAGGACACAAAGTGCCAAGTTTACAATTTTTACAATGAGAATTTAAAAGAATATATAGTACATACAATTTAAGGGGAGCGAAGAGCTAAATGAATACGATCTAGAAACTAGACATTGGTGCCTTTTAAAAAAGTGTGCATGTGTACAGACGCGTGCGAGTTAAAGACTATCCATATACATGTCCAATAATGCTAACTATATACTCAACTAGGTGTTATGCATATCATTATAAATATGATTTCTTTCATTCATATTTTGCTTGCCTTCGATTTGTTTTGCTCCGATTGCTGTGGAGCGATTTTCTGATTTTCTGTCGCGCCTTGCTTAACAAAAAATGATTTCTTTCTACAAATATTATTATTATTATATTATAATTTTTTAATTTAATAAGCACATGATCGATCTTTTTTTGTATAAATAGAGGGCTGGTGAATTGGGGGGCTTTTGAGGTGTAAGGTTTGGTGTTTTGTGAGCGCTTTTGCCTCGTTGCAACAACTAAACTAAACAAAAGACTCACTTAACTTGTTGCATATGTTTGCATAGATGTTAAACATTACTTTAAGTATATTTGCTTGTTCATTAAGGTTTGCAGCTGCTGTTGCATGGTTTTTCAATTCATTTCAGTACTTTTCAGTAAGATACTCCACTGCTCTGTTTCCTTCCATATTAAAACCGAAACCCTTATGGGTTGAATTCTTCATCGAAAGTTAAAGCCAAGCATTAGAATACAACAATGAAATTAACTTAACTATTAACTAAAAGCGAATAATTCAAATAGAAGGACAGCAGCAGGGACAAGGACATTCATCATTCGACATATTCCCAGTTGTACATTTCAACAAAAATCTTGCATGTTTCTTGTCTATTATATTTAAGAGCTTTTGTTTTTGTTTCGCTTTTCTCTATTTTTTGTTTTTTAGTTTCATACATGCGTTAAATGTTAAATACTTTATGCTTATGTATCAAGGATTTCTACTACCGCGTTCTTATTATTTTTTTTTTGTTTTTAAATCTGTGTGGTATGGTGTTGTTAGCATTCAGAAGTTGTTGTTGCCATTGCTGAGCAGATTGGAGGCGGCCGCCCCAAGAGCAGCTGCCGCTATGGATGCAGCTGAGGAGCTGCCAGATCCATTGGAGGCCGCAGCCGCCACCACAGCTGCCACAGCGGCTGCTACCGTGCTGAGATGCTGCTGCTGCTGTTGCTGGTGATGTTGTTATGGCATGAAATAGTCCGGATGATCTGTGTCTTTCTCGAACCGCTTGGCCTCCTCGTGCATACTCTCCTTGATCTTCAGAATGGCCGCAGATTCCGTTTGATCGTTCTCGCCAGGTCCGCCGAATCCGCCTAGGTTATAGTCGCCCATGCCACTGCCGGAATCTTCGCGCGGCGTTCCTGGTCCTCCGTTAGCTGGTGAGTTCTTCATGCCGTCCAATCCGGTGCCGTCTGGTCCGCCTCCGCCGTTAAGTACGGGACCCATAGAGTTGGGCCCACCACCCATAGGACCCATGCCGCCGGGCCCTCCTCCTCCGCCACCACCGTCTGGACCGCCGCCCATGGGGAACTCGGGTTTCATCAAAGCATACATGCTGTCACCAGGTCCGCCAACAGGTCCACCTTGCGTGTTATCTTGCGGAGACGGCATTATTGGCGTTCCCGGTCCTGGCGGTCCATTTGATCCGGGACCTGGTCCATAGTTTCCTGGTGACGACGACGAATACGCATTTAGAGGCGCCGATGCATTAGGCTGCCATTGTGGTGGCCTGCCGCCCGCTCCCCCCATTCCCATTGGGGGCATTCCGCCAGGTCCTGGTGCCGGACCTCGCATTCCGGGCCCGCCGTAGCCCATAGGTCCCATGCCGCCGGGTCCTCGAGGCGGATTCATGCGGGGATTCATTGGACCCATGCCTCCACCGGGCCGTGTTGGGTCCATACTGTTGGGCATCATGGGCTGGCCAGGTGGCCCGTTGAACTCATTGCCCATGCCCTGCATACGAACGCCGGGGCGAGGACCACCGGGATAGCGTGGTCCGCCCATGAACGGCGGCTGGCCGGGCATCATCTGCGATGGCGGCGGCTGTGGGCTGGAGGCGTGCGTGGGAGGTGATGGCCTCATTGTCGAGTTGGGAAAGAAGCCGGGACCCATCGGTCCACCGGGCCCCATTGGTCCGCCATCGCCACCGGGCGGCATCTGGCCGAGGGGACTGGGAGCTGGTCCGCCGGCATTGTGGGGGCCACCGGGTCCGATGCCATTGACACCGTAACCGGAGCTGACGAAGCCGTAGTCATGGAAGGCCTTGGCCTCTGAGCTGTGGTCGCACTGGTCCCGACGCTCGGGCGCCGCGCAGTACAGGTCCCAGAAGACGCACCACCAAGTATGCAGGAATCCTGGAGGCTCCCCGAGCGTTATGTTCTTCTCCCACCGGATCTCCGAAAGGAATGTCTGTGCCGCCTTCTGGGCGCCGACGTGGAGCAGATACTCGTACACATATAGCGCCAGTTTTTCACGGGCCTGGGCATCCGATGGCACCGCCGATGTCTTTGACTTGCCGTACATTTTGTGATGTTGCTGGTGTGTAGCTGTAGGCTGTAGCTGTAGCTGCTGCTGGTGTTGTTATTGTTATTGGTATTGCTGCTGGGTAAGGTGGTTTTGGTTTTGGTTCGGGCTGTTTTCTCTTCTTCTTTCCGTTGGTAGTTTGTTCACTTTTCGTCTACCAACTTCCACCTTATTTAAATTTATACTTTTATGTACTTTTCGAGGCTCTTGCTTTTTCCTCCTCTTCTTGTGCTGCTGCTGCTGCTACTTCTGCTTCTTCTTCTTCTTCTTCTACTGGTGCTGCTGCTGCTACTGCTGGTGTTGTTGTTGTTTTTTAATTGGCCGCGCTTTGGGCTCACGCAGCCGTTCTCCGCCGCTCTATTACTTCCACCATTTTTAATATACAATTTTACTTTAGCCTTTTTGCGATTGGAGTTTAAAACACACTCGGTGCTTTTACTTTTGTATTTTTACAATAAACTTTTTAGCGCGCTCTCGTCGTGTGTCGCCACTTCTTCGTTTTACCGTTTATTTTTTTTTCAGGTATTTTTTGCCTGATTGTTGCTGCTTCTTCTTGCACAACCACTAAAAACAGAAAAAAGCAAATGGGGAGAGAGAGAAAAAGAGCGTAAGTGAGAGAGAGCGACTTTGTGTGTATGTGTGTTGCAAATTTTCGTGTGCCTGTGTGGCGTGCGTGAGTGTACTTGCGTGAGTCGAGAGAGGAGCGCGCGCATTGTCGACAAAACGGCACAAGTGCCACACTGCCTACCAAAATAAACACTCCACCCTAAATCTAATACAAATTAAATACTATTAAATAACCTTTTAATATTCAAAAATAAAGTTTATTAAATCCTAACTATAGATGATTTTATACCCCCTTGTAGCAATAAACATGGGTTTTAAAAATTATATCGAAATGTACATATGTTTATCGATGTTTATTAAAAAAGTTATCGATATATATATTTTTGAATAAAGCTCATCTTAAACCCTTATTTAAATTTATAAGAACCAAAATTAAAATGTCTTTCTAATAACGCAACTTTTCAGAGTCAATGTGATCATAAACTTTTTGAGGTGACTATGGTGCGTCGCTCGTTCCGCCAGGTGAGAAGTATGTGAGTGATGCTCTTGGCCTCTCGGCCCGGTAGGTTGGTAGAAGCAAAAGGTAGCAAAAGGCCAGCAGGCAGCAGGCAGAGTAATCTGTCCGCCCGTCTGTTGACTGCTTATGTGGCTACCGCTGTCAAATGGCTATTCAAATCAAAATCTGTCTATGGAATTTACGGCGGGGCCCTAGTTATTGGCAGCACTGTTGGCTCGGGGAGCGAATGGTTAGCGAGCAAATGACAACAGCTCGTAGAGACAGGCGCGTGGCGATAAGGCCAATTGGCTCTATGGACAGGTGCATCAGTAACTAGGCACTATCCAAAGTTACGAAAAAACTGTACACAACTGGATTTTATCTTCAACTTTTAATAGATTTTTAGAAACATAAGATGTAGATATTGTAGATCCTAATAGATTATCCCATTGGCATGTTCCGGCCATTTAAATATTAGGACCTTTTCTAGAAGACACTCGTTAAGTGTATAATTTTGTAAGGTAGTGTAATGGATCGAAACCACATTTGTTTTCAAGACGATAGAGCGAAACTATAGTAACTGCTGGCTGTTATCATTTCTACTAGGTGTTATCTGGGTCTATTATGAAACTTTTATGAAGCCAAAGAACTATCCAGTTTGGATACAGCGGCTCTCTGCAGCTTTGGCACTCTACTATGATGGCTGGTAATCTTCTGGAGTTCACAGGTCTCTATAGCCAACAACAGCAACAACCAAGGGTTCTTGGTTCTTGGCTCAGAGTCGGATTTGGTTTGATACATAAACTTGCACCAACTACAAAATACCGGTCCATCGCTCTCTTTTCTTCCACACTTCTACGCCGCTCCGGCTGATGTTCGTTGGCTCTGCTGGCGTCGCTGTCGACGTAATTCTTCCCGAAAAGTAGTAGGATCGAAAAACAACAACAAAAAATCTACATTACTACCGATATTTCTCCATTGTTGTTGTCGATTCTAGTGAAGACGTCATCAAATTGGGTACGCGGGTTTTCTCTCGCACGTTCTACTTTTTGCCACACACACTCACTGCCTGCCATACACCTTCACAGATGGTTGTTTGTTTTTTTTTGTGTACTGGATATTTATCTTAGTTTCGTTGGTGTTGCATACGAACCTTTTCTAATGTTTCTTTTGGCAAATAATAATATAATATATTTGTTCGAATGTGTCGTAGTCGTGTGTGTTGTTGATTGCAATTTTATCACAAAATCAACAAGAAACACAAACAGACACAAGTTGAGAGGCTGCTGCTGCTGCTGCTACTTTCGGTTGCTGAGAGACACGGCGAAAGAGCGGCCGCGCGCGGAGAAAGAGAGCTTGAGAGGGGGAGGAACGTTGGCGATAGCGAGAATACGGAATTTTATTACAATCTCATTGATTTTTCGTATTTGCGGCTCCCCGGCTCTTCACATGTTTTGCGCGCATACATATAATTATTTATTATTAAACCGCGCGCTATTTTACTTCGTTTTTCGCTATTTGCACCAGTTCTCTTGGGTCGCGTTGTGTTCGAGCGATCGTGTGATATTTGTGTGATCCGTGTGTGTATGTATATGTTCGAGTGTGTTTTTAATTTCTTTTCTAAACACACTTTTTTTTGCCTTCTGTTGTTGGTGTAATTTTTGCAAGTTTTTTCTTCACACGCCTTTCATTCGGCAATCGCTTTTACTGCCTGTTCGGCTGCTTGTGCTTCTTCTTCCACTAAAAATCGGCTCTTTTTTGCCTGTACGAAATTTTCACATCGAGTTAGTGCGTTGAAATGCATTTTAAATGGCTGTCATTTCAAAGGCAAACACACCATTTACATATTCACTTTGGTTTTAATTATTTATTAATTCGATTAATTCGTTTTTACACAGCAAATAATTCGTATAAATATTTTTGCTGCTACAAGTTGCGTCGTCGTAGGGGTGGAGAAAACATCGGTATTGGGTATCGATGTTTGCCCACGGCGCCATCGATATTTCTTAATTTAGTTTTACCAGATTATTGTCACTTTGCTTTTATTATTTGGCCACACTAGTTTCATACACTATTTAAATTTAATAATAGTTTTTAAAAAATGAGTCGTTAATTATAGACTAGCGTTAGTTTATCGTTCTAAAAGCCCTTGTTTAAGAAAAAAAATATAATTTTAAGGTTATTAATAATACGAAAATAATAAGCATGTGAATATATTGTCAATGTAAACCATACCATTTTTAAAAATTATATTGTTTTCTTATTGGGAATTTTTAAAGATATACAAAAAGTTAATTTTTCAATTTAACTTGAAACCCTTGGTGGTGAAACTGGCTTTTCTTCTGTTAAAACTTAACAGAATATTTTAGGCGGGCGATTTGTTAACAGTACTCCAAATTCGGATTCTGTTTATTTGAAAGGCGTTTAATGCGCAGGATCCATTGCTTGCCGCCAAATGAAAACATCTAGTGTCCTGTGGCATAAACACTTTAGCTTAGTGCAACTGCAACTGTTCGTGGCAACTGAACACGTGCTACGAGTTCTTAAATCGCCTGCAAATTACGCGTTTCTCGTGCTTGTACTAAGACGTGAATTGCATTCTAATAGTTTTTAATTTTTGAAAATATCAAAATGATATTGGTGAGTGAACCATTCAGTTGCTTCTTGGTTGGTTTCAAAAAGAATTATTTTCTGGCGTGTGAACATTTAAAAGTGTTGAAATAAAAAAAATTCAATCATTCTGGATTCGAAAACCATTATAAGAAAATGAATGGATTCAATAATAATTTTAAAAAATGTGTTTGTTTTATCTTATAGTGCTATATAGAATATTGCACTAAAAAGCGACCGTCAAATCGAGTTTCAATGAGCCATTTAGTATGACGTATCGTAAAAATAAACAACATTAAATCACCATTTATGGTACATTTATTTGTGATGTGAAAGTAGAGGACCTCTGCGTTTATTTTTCATATGGCTTCTACAATGAACATTGGCAATGTTGAGGCCTTCGGCCATTCCGGGCATTCAAATGGAACACTTGCCCCCTTTTGGCTGCTCTCCTTTCAGCATCCTTTTTGTGCCCCCCAGTGGGCAATCGTTTACCAAATGAATAATGTCGCTTTCGGGGACTATGCCTCAATTCCCCTTTGTCAATTTTTATTTGACACATTTTATTGGGCCAATCGCTTCAACCGGTAATCCTTTTGCATTTCTAATTCTGTCAAAATCGAGGGCGACACATTTCCCAGGGGTAACATTTTTTCGCATCGCACTCTAAATTGGAATCGAAATCAGATTTTGTGCTGATGCTGATTGTACGGCACTATTGTCTATGGGATGTCTGTGTCACAGCTCTGTTGACTTTTGTTGGCAAACATTAGTTTTTCGCCGATGTTAGCGCAATTTCCAGCCAAACAAACACCCACTCGGGCAAACCCCACCACTGCAAACACATTCAATTAGAAACATTGAATTGCATTGCTTTCAAGGACTTGGGGTATGCAGCTGTTGCCATGAAAGCGGGAAAGTTTGTTCCCCGTGGGGTCGCAAATCTGTATTAATTTAAATTTAATGACTGGAGCGTTAATCCGGCAGATACATAACTCTCGGTAATTGAATTAAGCTTAAATAAATGGCATTACCTTGTTATTTTTATTCGTCTGTTACTAATTGCTTGACATTTTAATGCTTTTTGCAAATTGATTAAAAAGGACTCGAGAATTGAATAATTGCAGGGTGAGCTGAGATATGAGCTGAGATGCATCGTTATTTACAGTAGATACTCCTATAAATTATACTTTACAATATTAATTAAATTAACTAAAGATTTTAATACGATTTAAAATCTTTGTAGTTTAAACAATATTGATTTAAAATATTATTGGAATCCTTTGGATTCGGAATCCAATTTGGTGAGCTTTCACTATAGTATTTTTTCTGCGGCTTAAGCGAATGGAAGAGCGAATCAATTATGGAGGAAATAACTATGTTACCTCTCGCAGCTTCCTGCTCCCTTTTATCCTTCATCCTTGTACCGCCTGTATCGTTGTGCGGAGCAGCTGCAGCTGGATTTTGGCATCGCACTGACGCAAGCATATTTCAGTGGATTGGGAAGCTGAAGCAAGCGGGCAAAAGATATGGGCTCTGTGGTTGTTGCCAGTAAGGATTTATGAAGCACCGCATACTCCGATGGCAGGCGTTTCCGTTTCCGTTTTTGCCTCTTCCGCCTCAGTCGTCTTGTAAGAGAGAGTTCGAGTTCAGTGCAGCTTCAGTCGCTATTTTCAGGTTGCTGCACTTGTAATTCAATTGCCTTGAAAAACGGCAAGCTCTTAAACGATGATTTATAATCGGTGCTTTACCAAATTTAAATTTTTACTCTTACCGTCCAAAAAAGTATACTATGCTATGTAGTTTTTATTTACCAATTTTAAGATATCATTAGGAACATCCCTAGAGCAACAGCCCATATATATTTTATAGCCTAATTAAAGCGTTCTCACCACAGTTAATTAACTTAATTTTGATTAACGCGCCGAAATTACATTTAAATATTTCATTAGCCACAGGAAACTCGGCAAACTTTTCACACGCACAAATACCAAACACACACACACACATGCGTACTCATTTATGCACACATTCACACTTCGGCCACCGCAACTGAATGTCCACGGTTGAATGAAAAAATAACGGCACATGGCATGGGAGAAAAAAAATGGAGGACAGAGGAAGGACCGGAAACGGGAAAATCAGCATACATTTTTTGCAATTTTCATAAACGCATGAACATGGAAAACGAAAAAGTTTCCTTTCTGCCGGCCAGACCTAAATATAGTTTAAACCAATGATGGCACCTTCCCCACGAGACTCTTGTGTCCAGGTCCTTGCGGAGGAGCAGACCCAAGCAGCAGAGAGAAGCAGCTCCAAGCCAAATTGGAAGCCAGAAGCCAGAGTGTAAACACAGGGAAATACCAGATGAATGGAAACAGGGCCAGTGAGAAGCCCGAAGAGAAACCAGAACGAAGCAGCCAAGTGTGAAACGCAACCTGCGGATGGGGAAATGGGAAAATGCGTCGTACAGCGAAGGGCATACATGTAAAGGGAGGAAGGACTCAGTAGCGAATGGTTATACAATCATGATGATGTGAAATGGAAACCCTTCGCCCAAAAACGTTTAGCATTTCAGGTGCAAGTTTTTATAGCAACTAGGTCATTAGGCACAAGGCTTTAAAGACCTGAGGCACGGTTATTTAAAATACTTAATAAAAAATACTAAAATAATATAATATTTTAAATACTACATACTGCATAAGATCCTTATTTTGTGAAAATGTAACAAATGAAAACCATTAAGCAGAAAAGTTCAGAAAACATGAAGGCTGCCCAAAGTAACGACCAATGTCTCTGCCATTTTGTGATTTCGGTTTCCGCTAGAGTCCTTGAATATCCTTGCATTTTGTATTCCCAGTGTGTGCCTTCTGCGGCCAGTTGTTTGGCGGTCATGCATGCATCCTGCGCTTCATTTAAAAGTTATTTAGAGTTTCTGCTGATGACATCACACAGGGATATGGTCGACAGGCCGAAAAAGCCAGACCAGGGCGAGGGCAAGCGATGTGCGTGCACAAGGATTATATTCGGTTGAGTGCGTATCGAAGTCAGACCCCGTCCTGCTGAGGGCCAAATTGTGTTCTGCCAGACGGTGACAACCAAAACGAAAACATTGCGAATGTAAACATGAGGTACGTGCGGCCGGATGCGGAGGACATGCAGGCTACGTGCAGCTTGCAACAATAGCATTAAGCTCGCAGAAACTGCAGGCACAATCAACGAAATCTCATTTGCAACAAAAGCCGCATTTTGTCGTATGCAAAATAACAGGGCCGAGTTGGCAAAAGTTTCAGAGACCAGGGCTCAACTCCCTAGGCTTATTTCATGGCCCCAACCGAGCAGGACGGATCCAATTTAGATGGAACTTTGTCTGGGTCATTAGAGCTTGGCTATGCAGTGTGGCAACTCTCACACAGGTCCTTGATTAGTTTTTGCTTTAAATTTTAATCGGAATGCATCGTGTCGCAACAATTTTTTCGTCCTTTACAGCTACAGGATAAGAGAATTAAAGAGAAAAGAAACGTTTATGCAGTGGGAAGTGTGCGTGAAATGGTTATTTGCTGTTGCACTTAATGCATTTCAATTGTTATAATTTGCATGGTAATTTTCGCTTTGGCTCCCAAATGAAATTAGTGAGAATATTTTAATTGCTGGCGGAACGCCGGAATTATGCAAATGCGGCAGGAAAATGCTGTTGGAAAATATGAAAATTTTTGAAGCGCCAGCTTGGCTCTTTGTTTGTTTAAGCTGGAATGGGTTTCTGCGCGAAGCGGCTTAGGAAGAGTTAAATATAGGTTCTTTGGCTTTGCGTTTGGCTTTGCTTCTCGTCCTGGTCCACATCCGTCAGCTAAGCTCCTTTTGCTCGCTTTTGGCCTGTCTCTAGCTCCCCCGGGAGCCTTAATTAATTTTTAAGACATATTTTAGAAGCCCCAGGGGCATGGCTGAGGGGAGAACATAAAGCTTGCGAGTGACAGCTCAAGCGTAGTTGCGCATACGCCGTGTTGTCTGCAGCCACATCTGAGGCAGTTCCGTTGCAGCTCCGGTCTCTCCACACTGACAGTGATTAATTTTCCTATGTTTGCTGCACTTCAGGATAAATTACAAGCTGTGGCCGTCGACATTCTACTAGACAAATACCAACCGTAGTCCGGGCCCTTCGGAAACTTATACGGAATTCAATCACCTCGAAAGTCACTCTCCGAAATTGGCCAACAAGTTTGACTCACTCTGTTGATCTCGGCTAATGCTCAAAGCCACGGCACGAGGCAGTCGTCTAAACAATTGGCCAAAAGTTTCGTTTCGGTTAAACTAAAGTGTTTGACATGTCCTGGAACCCTTTGGCGAACATACATGGGGATATATGCATATGGTGGATGCGAAATGTGCACAAAAGTTTGCATTGAGTGGGTGGAAGGTGAGGTCCTTGGGACGTGGCAGATGTTAACTTTAAGCAGCCAAAGTTACCCTCCTTTCGTGCGAACTTTGTTGACTTTTCAATTGATGTGCAACTTAATCCAGATGGGGCATTACTTTAATCCTTTTTACTCAACCTCCTGTGGTTGTGGTTTTCTCAATAGGTTTCATCTAGTAATCGGGCTGGATTGCCGGCCAAATATAAAAGTAAGACATTTACTTTAAATACCCAGGAGTTCGTTTAAAAACTTTGCAATCAACAGATGCTGCTGGGGGAGTTGTAAAAGAAAAAGTTTGCAATGAGACATTTGTTTTTCTATATCTTTTTAATAAAGTTTCTAGCTTTAGATTTTATGAACCTTTAAATTAGAAACTTTTATCCCAGTCATGATTGGGTGTACACGTCCCTAAGATATATCCTTCTTAAAATAATTGAATCAGCTTGCATTGAAGCTCTCCCCGGGGCTTAAGCTTTTTAATCCTGCAATGCAGCAACATCTGCTTAAATGGCAGCTTCCAAATCATTCTCCGCTGGCATCCATCAAATAGAAACCAGGACGAGAACGGAGCCGGGCCGGGGGGAATCGAAAGCGGATAGAGCTTAGCTTCTCTCCATG